TATTCTATCGAGTCAACTTCATCAAATCGTGTTTCCATCCGTTAATAGCCCTAGAAAATATCCTCAACTATGCCCAATAAAAATCTTAGCCTTTAATTTTACTGTTTAGTACCTCAAAAATGAAAAATGAAAACCTCATTTTCGCCATTTTCTCTGCTACCCGGCCTTAAATCATTATTAACACCACGTTGCAAGAATTACTTCACTCTTATGGTCCTTCGTCCCAGATAATTTAATTAATCAGTCAATCACGCAAAAAACACGAATTTTCACAGGTGGTGTGCATGCAAACGATGCTATTCGAGCTGGAGCTGACGCGTTGGCGCGCTCGATGCGCAGGCGACGCGAGGCGCGGCTCGCAGGGCGCTCGCTCCGTGCTGCTGAAAGGACCCATCTACCTGCTGGAAGAGATTGACGCGCTCATCTTCTTGTGTAGCCCTATGTAAGTTATTATGTTCTCTTCGATTGCCTTGCTATATTGACTTTTAGATATAAATGTAGTTATTTCAGCGCTAATGGCATCTATAGCTTTTCTCGCCCCTCCTTTCCATCCTTTCATCCTTATGAATCACTCTATCTATTGATGAAAATCGCATTAAATTCGTTACGTAATTTATATGACTCTTGCGCGAATGGTTCAACGGGGAATTGATCATCTGTAACTATTCCAGTTTCAACGACCTAGAAGAGTTGCGCCAAGCTGGCCTCTACCTAGCCGACATGAACGGTCACGGGCTTTCAAAGGAGATGCTGCTCCAAGGCTGGCAGCACCTGTCCAGGCTCGAGCTGCTCTTCGAGAAGGCCGAGAGCCGTTGCATGTCGCTGGAGAAGTCTTGCCGGCTGCGCGACCAATGGAAGAAGAGGGGCGACCAGCTTTTGTACTCAATGATACCGAAGCCAATTGCTGATCACTTGAGAGCGGGGAAAGATCCCATGGCTGCCTGTCAGGTACTTTTATTTGGTTTTCAACCGACTTCAAAAAAAGGAGGAGGTTCTCAATTCGACCCGTATGTTTTTTTAGATTAAAGCGCCATGTTTACTATAAGGCGGTTATCACACTGCGCCGCGCTCCGCCGCGGAGCGCGGGATGACAGATTTTATCATTGTATGCAAAGAAAACACGCGCGGCACTTCACACTGACAACGCGTCCGCGCGCGGGTTTTTTTATATGAAATCACACGCACTCCGCGGCGGAGCGCGGCGCAGTGTGATAACCGCCTAAACATAGCTGTATTTCGCCTATAATGTGGCACCTACACCTTACGCTTAACGCCTTTTAAAGTGATAGAAACTGAACAGCAATTGCACTTTGCCGACATTACAACAACACTAAACCATTTATGGCGAACATTATTTTGCCAGGCGTTCGACAGCGTCACGATAATGTTCTGCGGCGTGCAGCTATCAGAGGCAGGCTCCCGCGCTGACGTCATGCAGACCGTGGCCTACATGAATGACCTGTACTCCCGGATCGACCGGCTGCTGGACACACATCGAGTCTACAAGGTGAGCTGATCATGGATGTCATACATTCTAAGTAGGTACTGCCTTGAACAATTATATGGGTCAGTCGGTACTGAGAAGAAGCAGCGCAAGAAACTCAGTCACTTGTCAGCATCTTCAGTAATTTTTATAAATGATTTTATGGAGCTAATATGCTGGCAGTTGACAGCTATAGGCTGAAGTTGATAACTGTGGGTCTAGACAAAGTGCAAATTATAATCGCAAACCAGTCGAAAAGTGGTCGAAAAGCCCCTTTTTTGTATGGAGTTTTGACGGATTCGATTTTCGATTCGATCAAAAAGTGCGTTTTGTCTAGGGGGGCTGAGCTATGACATCTTCTTCCTTACTTGTAATACCTGTTATCTCTTGTCTTATGTTATTACTATTTAGTGTTGACATTTTATTCATGAGTACAGGTAGAGACAGTGGGCACGGTTTACATGCTGGTATCGGGCGTGCCGGAGCGTCGCCGCGCACACGCCGCCGTAGCCGCCAGCGCTGCGCTCGCCATCGCGCGCGCCCTACCTATGCTCACTATAGGCGAGTCTCTGTAATACTTATATCTAGCACTCATGAGTTGATACTCAACTGTGAGAACCGCGACATAACTTGAAGACGATCATTTGTGATTTCAGGTGTCCATTCTGGCCCATGCGTGGCTGGGGTACTTGGATTACGGCTGCCAAGATATTGTCTTGTAGGTGATTCCGTCAACACCGCCAGTCGCATGCAGACTACTTCAGAGGTGAATAAGAATCCATTATTCATCAAACTTATTGGGCGCCAACTGTAGCACATTGTATTTTGGGCGCCAATTGTAGCACATTGTATTTTGGGCGCCAATTGTAGCACATTGTATTTTGGGCGCCAATTGTAGCGCTTGGCATACATTGATTTTGGGTGCTTTTTAAAAATACTCCTTACTGTTTCCTGAAACTCGAATTCATCCCAACTATCCCAACTAATATTATAAATGCGAAAGTAACTCTGTCTGTCTGTCTGTCTGTCTGTCTGTCTGTCTGTCTGTCTGTTACGCTTTCCCGCTTAAACCTCGCAACCGATTTTGATGAAATTTGGCATAGAGATAGTTTGAGTCCCGGGAAAGAACATAGGATAGTTTTTATCCCGGTTTTTGAAACAGGGACGCGCGCGATAAAGTTTTTCTGTGACAGACAAAATTCCACGCGGGCGAAGCCGCGGGCGGAAAGCTAGTCCCAAATAATATTATAAATGCGAAAGTAACTGTCTGTCTGTCTGTCTGTCTGTCTGTCTGTCTGTCTGTCTGTCTGTCTGTTACGCTTTCCCGCTTAAACCTCGCAACCGATTTTGATGAAATTTGGCATAGAGATAGTTTGAGTCCCGGGAAAGAACATAGGATAGTTTTTATCCCGGTTTTTGAAACAGGGACGCGCGCGATAAAGTTTTTCTGTGACAGACAAAATTCCACGCGGGCGAAGCCGCGGGCGGAAAGCTAGTAGTCTATGTAAATTTAAATAAAACACGCTTCTGGTTTCAGCCGGGACGTATCCAAGTATCAGCGAAAACTGCAGCTCAGCTACCGGCTGGAAGGTTCAGACTGAGACGCCGCGGGCTTATCAAAGTTAAGGTACCTATGTAATAAAAACACAAGAGACGGCAAATAATACACGACCAAATTGTTTGTATTATTATTATTATTATTATTAAATGCCGTTTTCTCATTCTAAGTTGTCGAGTGTTAGTACGAGTTTGGGTGTCTATCTAGCCTCTATATTTAATTACTTTTACAGGGCAAAGGTATGATGGAAACCTTTTGGCTCGAGGGTGAAGTGGAGGAAGAAGAGCAAGATGAGGCGTTGCAACTGTTTTCTGCGCTCTGTGGAGATGCTTGAGAAGCCATAGAGATTTGATAAAGCTCCATCTTCTTATTTATCTATTTATTTTCAACATAGGATGAAAACTATTTTTAGACTAGCTATTTTAAATTATGAATGTTAATAAAAGGTGTAGAATACAAAAAAAAACATACTACTTTCTTAATCGTAATTTAATATCAACAGACGAATTAAATTCGTTTTTTTTTCATAAATATTTTGATTGTTGTCTATAATATAGGGTACAATTTTAATATTCATGTTTTTGTGTTTTAATATAGCTATAATAAAATTACAATCTTTAATGCCATAATGTAAATAATGTACGATTACAAATCCTAGTAAGTATAACGTCGTATTATAGCAGGTATACCAGATATTTGTGAAAATATTAGGTTTACGCTCAATATTGACGCCAATAATGTTACAATGCCAGTAGAAAATGTAAAACCGTTAATGGCAATAGCTTCATTACATGTTATAGGTACGAAAATATCATGAAATCGAAAATATAACGATCGTTACATTGTCTAGAGGCCTAATTAATATTTTTTTCAAAATAGAATTGGATCTTAAAATTTTGTTACACTTTGCTGACGCTACGTGCAAGCTTTCAACCAAAAACGATGTTTAGTAAAAATAATAATAAAGCCTTATTTTGTATGTAATAAACAACATAATAAGAACAATTTAAAGAACCTTTCTGAGCATTTGTTAACTTTAATACAGACATAATGATAGCAAAATTACGCTAATCGGTTAAATAATTGAAATGCAGTAGCGCCATCTAGATGAAAATTACAATAAATTAGTGTAACATGTCTATGCTATGTAAGTGCTAGGTGAAATATTAAAATTGCTTCCTAATTAATCTAAAATGACAAACAAAAATAATAAAAAAAACTTACATTAACTTTTTTAGTTTGAGCTGCTAATGCTGTATACAAACAAAAAATATCCACATAAAAAGCAGTTAGTTATTAAGTTAGTTAAATGAAACATTATTGTTGTAATTACCTCATGTTATTATACAAAGTACAAATAAAAACAAATCGAAACAATTATTCTTATTGCTATTTGTACTTCTTACATTTTTGCGGCGCTCTATTTTAATATAATTATGAATAGTGAACTGTTAGCTATAATGGAGCTTCCATTGGCGGGCTACACATTTTTAGATTATTTCGGAAAGCAGGTTAAGGATTTTAAGGCCCTCTAGGCAAAATACCGTTTGTGACAGTTTGAATTCTTTCCGAATTTTGTTCACTGTTCTTCGTCTTCGTGACATAGCTTCGTAAAGCCCGTAATTTGTCACAATATCACTTTGTCTCTAGATCAATAAAACATCATTTACGATACAGGTAGCTGCCTTAATATCTCTACACTGCACGCCTATGGAAGCAACTTATTCGCAGACTTTGTCAACAGAGTCGAGTCAAGGCTCAATATAGCAAAATATGAATATGAAACAACATCTTATTACACGCTTTTAAGAATTCAATAACCAATTGTAACAATGTGTAAAACTTTTAGACAACTTTAGTGCGTTAATTTTATGGTAATTATTATCTAGAGGTTGGCACTAAAGTACACTAGGACGGTGAAGTTACGTACAGTTAAATAAATAAATAAATAAATACTACTTCATAACAATGCGGATTTATCATACACGTTTAAATACATTGTAAGAACAGCAAGCGATCGGCAATAAATAAAATATTATGTATCTGTACATTCGTTAAACAATAACTTATAAATTAAGGCACTATAGAATAAAACAAAACTCATACAAAATCGAGCACCTAACTGAGGTTGTAATCACAAATCAAAAAAAGTCAAAACACACGTAAAATATAAAAAGAATAACGGATTTATGTCATACAGACATTAATAAAAGAACCGTAAAACAAATGGCAATGCCAGATTTTGTATGGAAGGTGGCGTCTTTTTTTTTTTCGCGCGGCCATCGACCAAACTTTGTTTTTTGATTTCAAAATAGTGTTTTAAACCAAACTTACTATGGCATGTATACCTCTAAACTCAGTCTGAACTGAGTTACGAGCATTAGAAGTTTAATTATTTTCATACTAGATTTGCTTTTTGCGCGCAAGTTTTGTAAGAAATTGCAACAAAATATTGCGCTATTTTTTTATTGCGCTGATTCTGCTGCATACTGATGTCTGGAGTCTTTAATGGATGGTATTGTTTGTTTACACATAAAATGTCATTATTTTGTTGCAATTTCTTACAAAACTTGCGCCCAAACAGCAAATCTAGTATGAAAATCATCAAACTTCTGATGTTCGTAACTCAGTTCAGACTGAGTTTAGAGGTATACATGTCATACTAAGTTTGGTTTATTACACTATTTCGTAATCAAAAAACAAAGTTTCGTGGATGGCCGCGCGAAAAAAAAAAGACGCCAATTTCCGGCATTGTCTTTTGGCCCACAAACCTTTGGACACGCTAGAATGGGATAGGATACAATAATACTTAGTAAGTTTATAAAAAATCTGTAATAGGTACTTCTGTAAACGGGGATGGTAAATCCATCGAATTTATAAGAAATGATAGATGTTAATAATATTTTGATGAATTCTAAACATTATTATTTAATTCGTATCTAAAATACTCATATTTATAAAATTACATAGTAAGTACTTGGTTTAGAAACATTTTGGTGATGGCTCAGTCTTTCTAATTTATGCGAAACTGATGATCCAGCGATCAATAAGTATTAACCACGCCAAAGTTTCTAGTTATTTTCTTTTATCTTATCTTAAAGAATGGTTATTTTACGACCATTAGCCCAGCGGTTTGATCTGGTAAAGGAAAATTTTATCTCATGTTTTACAAGATTTCTTTAAAAATACTCGCTTTTGACAACAGCACAGTATTGTGAAGATTTTCTATTTAACCTGAGTTAAAAGAAAAAAGTAGGTAGGTAGTAAAAATTAGTAAGACTAAATACTTATTGCAATATCGATGAAACTTAACCCTAAGGAATGTAGCTTAAGTCTAGCATTTGAGAGGTTACCTACTGTTTGAAGAGAGCTGTGACTTCTTCAATCGTCTTGTTCTTAGTTTCGGGCAGTTTGAAGTATGTGAAAACGAAGAATAATATTAGAAGCGCCGTATAGGGCAAGAACACATAGGCACCCATGGCGTCACTCATCGGAATGAATGTTAGGCCTACTACGAAGTTTGCGAACCAGTTGACTAGCGCGCCCACACTCACCGCGGCGCTCCGGGCACCCTGCCCGAACAACTCGGACAATATCATCCAAGGAATAGAGCTCGGGCCCACGCCGAATAACGCCACATACAAGAATGTAAAGATCACAGCGAAAACACTCATCGTAGGATTGTCCTTATACAGCAAAGCTATCGTCATCAGGATAGAGAACACGGTCATACCACCAAGACCCGTCAGCTGCAGCGTGCGTCTTCCCAATCGATCGATCAGAGGAATGGATACTAAGGCCATAATGAACAGCATGCTTCCGACGCCAATCGTCGCCAGCCTAGCCGGCTCTTCGTTTAGACCAGCGCTAACGAAAATTGTTTGAGAATAGTACAGAACTGCATTAATTCCACCCAATTGCTGTGACAAGTGCATAACAATTCCGATAAATAGTGGTTTCCTCAAATGGCTAATTCGGAAAAGATCAGGAATAGTGAATTTCTCCTCCTGCTTAGCAGCGTGGTCTTCTACGTGCATATCGTTGATCTCATCATTGATTTCAGTGGTTCCTCTGATTTTCGTAAGAGCTATCCTCGCTTTCTGTTCGTCGTGGGCGGCTAGCAACAAAAATCGCGGTGATTCAGGCGCAAATGGTAACATGAGACACTGGAGAGCTGATGGGAAAATAGCTAATCCCAGTAGCCACGGCCAGCCCGCGTCGCTGCCTAGAATCACATCGATACCGAGTATTTGAGCACCAACCAATCCAAAGGCAACTGCTAGTTGGTTCACCGTACCGAAGGCTCCTCTCAGCCTGAGAGGGGCTACTTCAGATACATAGGTCGGCGAGGCGGTAGTTGCGAAGCCGCAGTTTACTCCTATTATGAACCTCCCAATGATGAGCATTTCAACAGATCCCGCCAACTGGCTGAAGCCCATTAGTATAGCACCGACGACGCCGAGAATGGCGTTGAGGAACAGAGCTTTCTTTCGGCCGAGTTTTTCTGCGAGCCAACTGGCGAGGGGGCAGCCGATCATGCCGCCGACGGCGAAGATGCTGACGATGACGCTGAAGATGAGGCCGGTGTTGGCGGTGGCGGAGTACTGGTCGCGGATGAAGTTCTCGATGAAGGTGCGCGGCGCGTTGATGACGCCGGTGTTGAAGCCGAACTGCAGCATGCCCAGCACGGCCGCGCTCACCGCGTACAGCAGCGCGCCGGTTGTCCCTCCGCCAGACATTTTCGGCCGTGTTCTTGACTCTGGAATAAGAGAAAAAGGGGACCGTCAAAATGTGAATTGTGTAACTCATATCATATCTTATCGAAATCGCAACAAGTGACTGTTTAGGATAGGATCAGAGACAGCGCGTTAAGATAAACTTAGATGTTTTAAGTTATTTGGGTAAACCTTCTTATCTTTGCTAGTAATGATGATGAATTAAAAATATGACAGTCACTTATAAACAATTTATCTGTCCAGTATGTACTCAAAAATATAATAATTGCTAGATAGAATAGGTACATAGGTAACAATTTGGAATAGGTAGGTACGATAGGTAATAATGTATTATAGGTAGGTTCGGCTTATTTCAAAATCATTGTTATCTTGAATTGGTCTGGATTATAAAAATCGTGTTATTGAATCAAATCTTTGGCCTATAATCGTCATTATTATAATTACGTGTCATGATAACAACTGAACAGGTCGATTGAATCAATAATTATGACAATTTATTACGTTAAGCCTCTACTAGTTTAATTTGTTAAAAATACCTACATAGAGATTGTTGTTGAATGGGATATTAAGCTCTCAAAATATGTCTCAAGAAAATGTTTTCACCAGAAACATAAATCGTCTTCGAATTAAATTGTACTGCTACACTTCACTTAAAAACTCACAAAAATCACCTCACACGGCTCTACATAAATTTCTTATAATCGACTATTCGACCAATAATCATAATGTTTTTGCAATTCACCACACCGATAGCATTTGAGAGCGAGACTAACTACTTTTCATAATGAGAGAAAAATATTTACTAAAGTGCGACACTACCTACCTACTCTTGGAAAATTCATAAAATGAGTACATAAAAATGACTCACTTTAATGTATAAACACAGGTACAGCTGAACCTATACTAATTTCATTACTAAATACCGTTACAACCGCCAATACATTATTTCATATTAATACGAGTAATTATTAGTTACTTTTAACTAATTAAGCATTTGTGTCATTAATCAAATTTTAATTAATACAAAAACAAATTTACTCACACCCGACGTTGAACACAAAACTACCAGTAATCCGAGATAGATCAACATACGGACTAAATATTATCATATTACATTTATCAGAGTAAGATATCAAATCAGATCTACGTTTCTTGATAACATCGTTAAGAAGATAGAACTACTTCAGCCATTGAAAATAGCTAAGGTAAATGGTAATGAAGAAACACATTCCTAAAACGTGGTCAGTAATCTAATTTATTCATGAAATTATGTCCCTTTTCTACATAAACTCTTTGGTTTATTATGTAAGTAATTACCTACTACAAACCTACCAACAATACACCTTTAGATACTGTAAGTAATCTATGGCAACAGTATTTTTAAACGAAGCCAATAACTTAAAACTTATGTACGCGGTCACGCGGATGTAACTTAGGTATCCAGTACTAAACAATAAGTAGTTTTTTAGGTAAATGGGTAAATGTCAAGTAAGGTAAATGTAAATAGTCAACCGTAAGCTAATAAAAATGGTCGCATCGCAGTCATCTAATTACTCATTCGTTACCAATTGGATATTGTGTTCAAGAGTTATTCACAAAAGGTGTCAATCAAAGTCGTCATATAATCGTATGATTCAGCATGTGTCAATAAATACAAAATATTATTAACCTCTTATTTGACTACAAGATATTGAAGTGAGTATAGTACTATAATACTAAAAGCTCGTCAATTTGTTGCAGACGACATAATGACAAATGAAGTTACATCAAGCAAATAAGTTCGTACCACTTATGATGATGCACACAATGCTTATTTCATGGACCCAAGGTAGGTAGCGTATATTAAGCAGCTTTACTTCTACGCGAATTTAGTCTTCTAAACCCTGTACCTCTATTTCGCGCCTTTTATGATTGCAATTAATGGTAAGATTAAAAAAGCAATACTGGAGTAGAAAATTTAAACAGTGACATTGACACTTTTTAGCAAAAACTCTTCGAGGAGAAACTACTTAGATGTTGCAATATAAATGCAGTTCTTTGGGTCACCGGCATTAGCAAAATCCGTCAATCCACTTGAGCAAGTGTTTTTGTTTGAGATAACCGGAACTCTGGAATAAATATTAGCAGTATCAAATTGACTAGAGGTCTTATCGAAATAAACCCCAACCTTTAAAATGGCGAAATTGTACTTCGGGTTTCAAAGTTTCATTAACTTAGTAAAGCCATAAAAAGCCCGCGGCAACGAAATATCAACTGTTTTTTTCTGAATAAAAATCTTATTGGTTACGCAAATCGCTGCCACGAAGCGAAATACAAGCGTAGGAGAAAGTCTACACTTCCAATTTCTACCTAACAGACATTTTGCTCTCAGAAACAAACTGCTACATGAATAATACGATAATAATAAAATAGATAACTATTTGAAAGTGACTTTGGGAACACAACTTGAAGCTGACACAAACAGTGCAAAACTGTGATAATGAAAGGTAATTAAATAGTAGAGTTTAACGTACATACACGTAATAGTCTTCAAGATAGACTTCAAGAAAATCGAATTCGAAGTCAGGTGAAACAAACGACAGGATAAGAACAATTAAAAATTAATACACTAATGCCCGTTTTCACCATCAGTCCCTAATTTTTAAGTGAACCCTATGTAAACAAATTTCCTGTAAAATGTGACCATAGGGGTTACTTAAAAATTAGGGATTGATGGTGAAAATGGGCATAACTCTCCATAAAAACTTATGTACCTAGCTACTAAGTACACTACATAAGTATTCCCAACTAATATTGTACTGATTGTACGTTGTTTAGATGGATTTTTGTACTCAATCGCTTAAGAAACCTACTTTAAGTAATTACTGAAAAGATTTTTATCACGAATGAAAATTCCACATGCGTGTGGGCTACACGAGTAATAGGAAAAACAGTGGACTAGATCCGCACGTGTGCTGAAATTCGCATTACAGGAAAAACGCACTGATTTACCGATTTACCTAGTACATGGGTATACATATTTCTTATAGGCCTTATATTACAACAAAAATCCTATTACAAGTACCTAACCTAATCAACTTATGATTTTAGAATTACGAATAAAACGCAGTAGGAAAAACAAACCCCATTATGAGTTTTAATATCATTATTATGCTAATAGCAGTGAGTGTTGACGCAACCAGACAGACAGTAAAAAATTGCTTTGTAATCTTCTTTAAACGTAGTAGGTTCGACCTAAATACGAATGCGAGTTAATTATTTAATAATTATCATCAAAGTACCTACATAAGTAGGACACTATAATTAAATCCGAAAAAATATTGAATTGTTGTATCTTATACAAATACGTTTACATATTTCGTATCATGTACAATATGTTTTGACCTTACATTAGGCGTCAGTACGTTGAATTTTGTTTGGCGATGTAATGGGAATTTATATTGTTGATTATTATAAAGATTAATTAAGTACCTGTATGTATTGTTTATTATTAAAAGTGGAAACCTAGCGATTGTTGACCGGCCTTGTATCAGATTTCGAAATTAATAGTACGACAGATTATAAAACATCAAATGAATTTCTTAGCGACGGATAAAATAAAGTGAAACGCTCAACCGCTCAACCAATCATCAGAAAATTCATGCTCTGATTAAATAATACTTTTCGAATAGTTTTTTAGCTGCGCTTGCGTGTATCCCAGCAACGAGTTGTCGGTCGTCCGATCGAGACGGTTCCACGCATTTGTTTATGTTTTATCCATCGCACACGCAAGACTACGGCTATGGCACGTGGTATAAATTACTTAAATTACTACTCACCTAAGCTGAACTCAACTAAAAAGATTTACACTGCACAGTGAACTACGGTGTGAACATTTTCATTCGCGATTGGCAAGTTTTGCATCGAACGACAGTTGCATGTGCCCGACGCGGCGGGGCGAAACGCACTGGCTCGACTTACAAGGCTGCCGACCGCCGTGATTCTTGCTTGGGTGACGGTGACAGCTGTTAAGCCGAGCACATAACTTGGCAAAGCAATGATAATGCCGTCATTAAACACGAACGTGCGTTTTTTTGTTAATTTATTGCGACGCAATTTACTTACTACCACAATTCCTTTTGGATTCTAATTATCATAAAATTACAGCCAAGTGGTTATTTTTTTAACAATTACAACCAAGTGGATATCAATAGTTTATCGATTCATTTAATAGCAATTCACATCAATACTTCTCATTGTAAATTGACTTAATCTGTAATTAATTGTAGGTATAGTTTTATCTGCGACTTTCGCAAGTTGCGCAATCGTCCCAGTATGATTATTTTAATTTTCTCAAATTAAATCTTAAACTGGAAACTTGTACACTAACCCTAAAATGCGTGAAAACCGGCTACTCAATCAACACAAACAACTTGTGATATACGAATGATAACATAGTATTAACATAATTCGCAAACCGCACACGAGGCGTCATGCAAAAGTGCTATTCACAGCTTGTATGATCCTTCAAATTATCCCGAGTGTCACAGATTGAATAATGACAAGGAAAATTTTCGCGATATAGCAAAATGGTATGTACTGCACTCTACACTCCGTAGCCTGTCTGTAGCCCCGTTACAAAGTAGATAGGTATTCTCGTGTTATAAGTAGGTGTTATGTTCTTTAAGGAAAATAACCATGTTTTTTAACAAAAGCCAGTATAATTTTTCCAATGTTTATGCACACAATGAAATACACACGAAACTAAATGCATAAATAGTAAATACTACATATTAGGTAACATATGCATGACCATATCTAACGTAGCGAGGATAATATAAAATATGAAGTATGGGTATTTAGTGCCACGCTGAACACCAATCGATATGTAATTTGAATATCTACAGCGATCTCCCCTAGCAAGAAAGTGAACTGCTCGAGTTTCCCCTCTTTTACCTGTACCTAGTACCTACCTAATGTTATAGTCATAGTCATTACTCGGCGGTCAAGGAACAAGCACGAATGCCAAAGTTCATTGGCATTGAGTTGGTAAACTATTAGTAAAGTAGGTACCTAGTAAAATAGAAAATAGTAATAATAATTTTATTTGATTCTTTCCATGACTGAATTTACTGTTATGTTGAAACTTCAAGAAAGTAGCTAAACACAGATATGTATCATGATATTCATGATCTATTCAACCTTGAGGTATAAATAGCTTGTACAAATACGAGTAAAGACACCGGAGGTCAATTAAAGTGATAAAGTGATACCTTGGTAAAAAAATAAAAACAAAAATTATTGTACATTAAAGTTAATTGAATTATATTTATAAATGCACTCAGTATAAAATCAAACATAAAAGATACTTAAAAAAATAAGTTAAGTAAATAAATCTAAGTACCTACATATCGTAGGCTGAAGGCAACAGAAAATTCGTTTCTGAAATCGATTACCCCATGGGGAATGTAGGTACAATATGTGGCATTGTACAATTCACTCTCACTACTCACTTTACTTTTCACGGGATTGGAAATGTTTACGACACACGATCCTAGGAGTAGGTAAGTGTGTTTATTGTGAAAACTTAGATAAATCTTCGAACGTCTGTTAAGCATGCAATCTCCACGCAACTACTTTAAATTTGAACCTTTATTACTTACTACTAAATGTAATTTCCTATCAAATCAAGCGCCTGTACATTCTAAGTAGCTAATATGTTGTTGAACAATTTCCTAGATACATTTTCATCAGGTGAGATGAACGTCAAGAGCTTCTCCTTTGTTTTCCATTAGAAACAGCGATAAGGAACAACTTTCTACAAGAGATTCAATGACAGAAATGACTTTTCTTGTTAACACCTAGTACCTACAGTTAATACACTTAATGCACTATCAGTTACCGTAAAACAGGCTTGAGTTCCTTCCATTAATCTAATTAGAAATAAATAGGTAACCGATACCAAAGGTAGTTCTGCCCGTGGGGAACACACGTCCCGAATGTATGCCTATTTTGTAGAACGAAAAGAGAAGAACCGAAAATAAGTAACTATCAGGTTTTTAATGCTCACCACATCTCTAAATTTACCTAAGGATTAACAGGTAGCAGACTCACATTAACTAGTTACTGTCAACTAATATTATTAAACTGGAGAGTAAACCTTGACACCATTATCAAATTCATCAAAAGATTCTCTATTTGCCAAATATTTGCCGTCATTATGACGTCATTTTGTCATGGCAGCCTAAAAGTAAAAGCATGCTCATTCGGCGCCGAAGAAATGCGATCGTCACAAGATAATAATACCACAGTAAACGGAAATACAGAAGTACCATGCATTATTAAAGTAGAGACAATGTCACCATCAGGAAGTATTAAAAGACAAATAGAAAACAGATGAAAATCACATTAGTTCACGACTTAAAAGTTCTTTTGCACGGCAGACGCAGCGGCATGTTTACTTAGCATGCTTACTGCAATGAATTAAGCCTACCAGTAAACCTTACTTCAATTGTGGGAATGCTCAACATTCCGTAGCCGTATGACGCGGGTCTGTGACCTACTAATACTTCTTTCGAGACTTCTTAGAGATAAATGAAAAAACTGGTTAAATGCGAATAACAAAAAGAACAAATCATTCCATTTCTTGACAACTCTGTTATTAAAGGTGAACGATGTGGCAGAAGAAACGGCCTAGCGAGTGGTCTTATTCATAAATAAGCTCAGAAACATAATGAAGTACAAGCATTAAGAAAGAATACCTTAACGATATTAGAACCTCGTACTCAATAACATAATATTAAACAGGAGCATTTGCGCGACGTGATCTAAATCAATAGTAGGACCTAGCTAAGGCAAGAAATTCCGATAAATAGAGATGCCACCAATAAATTGCGATGCCGACAATAATGCGATGACCTTCTTCTACATACAGAACCGGAAGAAGTTCAAGACATTCTCAGGATAAACAGACACACATTTTTTATAGAGAGGATACGAATGCAAAAGCTAATAATCTTAAAATGTTACCTGAAACGGTTTTCTCAAACTTCCTAATAATTTGAGGTGCGATAATCTTCTGATCCTTGCTCAGCACAACTTTTTCGAAAATGTGCCATATATTTTCTCGTGATATCAGTGATATCATAAAATGACGTAGGCAGTTTGAGCAGTTTCATGGATTATAAATAGCGAGTCGCGGAACAAAAATAAATACGTTGTGAATAAAAAAATTACATCAGTAACAAGATACGAATTAGAATAAATATTGTTAGGTACACATCATTCAAAATAGACTAAATTTTATTTAATTAAATAAAATTCCAATACTTTAGGTGGTTGTTGTTAGTAGGCAGATGAAAATACCAGACCGGTTCATGGTAAAAAAAACACAAGGAAAATCTTTCAGAAAACAGCGTCTCTAATTGATAACAATCCGTTGCGTTGCGGCACAGAATAAGTAGGTAATAGATAGGCACATAGACACAGACCTACCTCTAATTGTTACTGCTTCTTTGCGTAAATCATCAAAAGGTAAGCGTTCATTTGCAACTTGCCACGACCACGTAAGCGTTTTCCACGACATTCTATATTTTCGCACTATTAGGTATTATTGAAACACGTATTGCTCGTCAAAGTATCAACGAGGTTTTTTGTCAGCGCAGCTGCACTGTGCGTCGTACATTAGGAGTGACTGCTTCGCGAAAGTAATCAATTGGTGCAATAACAACCACTTAATCCCGTTCTCAATTGTATCCACTTACGATGATACATTTAAATGGTTATAAATAGGGGGGGCGTGTGAACTGATAATACAATTTAAAGCTACCATGTTTCAGTTTCATTAAAAGTCAATTCAAAAATGCTGAGATGTTTTTTACAAAGTTATCACCAACATTTTAGACTCTGGCCTAGCCAGGAGATGTTAAAAAATCTTGTGTTGGTAACTAAATTAAAATTCTACTTTTTACATTATGTTAAAAACATAAGTAGTGACTGGCTACAATTCAGCCAAAACTGCTTACAGTGTAAAATAAGTAAAACAGATAATAATATAAAAACTTTACAATGTATGGTTTTATTAACAATCTGCTGTTGACTTGTTAAGTGAACATGATACAGCTGTTTAGCATAAACATCAAGTTTGATATGAAGGCCTTGTGATAGACGATTTAACAATAATTGCTGTCTGTGATGTTCAACCATTCCATGACAATGAAAAACACAAAATACTTAGTCACTGTGTAAAATGTTATGTAGGTACCTACTGTATTAGGTTACTATGTGACTAATTGAATGATACCTGATGCATACATTATTCAACGAAAATCAATATGAAATATCAGAAGGCTTCCAATGGTGTCTAATAGAAGTAAGTTGTTTGTTGATTTTAAAACCAAATCAAGAAGATTTTGTATGAAAGTGCAACATTGTTTAAAGATAGTTATGTATGGATTACTTTTGTGTATAAAAAAGTATATAATGAAGTTTAGTGATTGATTATTTAAGCAGCCTAAAAGCGTAAAGTAAATAATAAATTAATATGTCTTTAGCTACTAATAGGTGCAAAATTAAATGTGTACAAACCATTTGTGTGAAGTAAAGCCGCTGTGTTTTCACTTTGCATTTTGACTTTTAACTAAACATGCTGCTTTGAATTCTCCACGTTTCACAACATGCGGTGCGCGACCGGTTCCGCGCGTCTCTCGCTCGGACTCGCGGCGGGCGCGGGTCACCAACTCACCACGCACATAGGCAACTAGGCACTATTTAATCAAACACTCGGTAGCATGCAAATCAATTTAATAACCAGATGTTACAGTAACTTAATGAAGCAAAGCGAATGAATTGGGCGGCACCAAAAACAAGGTTTCATGCATTCTCTTGCTTGATTTAAGGGTGTACAACTACTTTTAGGAAAAAGGAGTTAATTAGTGACTTCAGAGAATTGTTAATTAAATGGTAAGTGCTGTATAAGCATAAAAGTAGAAAGGAAATTCATGCAGTGCAATCAATCTTCAATTTGTAAACATACCTCTCTCAGGGGCCAAAAAATAGAATCAAGCCACCATTTACTACTGTCATTTTGCACATGATCTAATAACTACTTTATAAATTAAACTTAACATTTTATATCAATTTACTTTAAAGCGTAACAGTAATTTCAATATTAATTTTCACATTAGCACAGCCATCGCGCTGAAAAATTGTACTGAAAATCAAACCAAAGAGAACATAGACACGATAAAAAAAATACCTGCATAAAACCAGAGACAAACTAATATTAGTCACAGATATAATAAAAAAAGAGAGTAAGAAAGTGGTTCGTTCGAGTCATGAGGATTACGAACAAGACATCAATAGTAAGCTTTGATCAATTAGTATTAAATTAACAAGTGTAGGGGGGTAATTAAAGTCATCTAATAAAAATTAACCCAATCACATCACACACACACACATCATGACTCACTTTCTATAGCTTTTTTTAAACTTGCTCTATTTGTTTTATGCAATCTCTGGAGTCTGGAATATGAAGTGTCAGATTTTGACATTGACAGCGACGTTTTATCACGACAGCTGCGATTTGTTTGTTGCGCAATAAAATAATTCACCCGAGCAGTACACAAACAATAGTAACAACCACCAAGAAATACACATAAATCCTCAGTTCATTTAAAAAATGGCAAGCAACTCATTTATGGACAAGATCAAGTCATTTTTTGGATTACGACAAGAGCCACCCCGAAATGATTTCCGAAATCCAATATGGGGCAACGACGACGACGACGTAGATGAACTTTACTCGTACTCGCAGCATCAGATGCAGCCCTACGTCGACCCAGCCGAAATGCAGAAGTTTGTTGCTAAACAAATGCAAGACATGTTCAAATCGTTTGGCTCAATGTTTGGTGACATGAAAGTTTTCTTCCACGACGATCAATACGACGCGTTCGCCGGCTTCGCGGACATTCCTGAGGCAGACAACGACAGCAACAACATCAGAGACTATTATTTGAAACCTGGTTACCAAAATCGTAAACAAGAGCACCATGAAGATATTGATTTGGATGGTAAACTATCATCCCATGATATATCAGGCTTATTAAAACAAAAAGAGAATGGCCATAAATCAATCACACCATTCAACGGAGACTTGGTCCCTGGCAGGAGCTTTTGTCAAACAATCATCACAACAAGTGTCACCAAGCCGGATGGAAGTATTGAAACCAGGCGAATCATCAAAAATGGCAATGAGGTTGTGGAAGAGACCACAACTACACCAGGCCCTGGCCCTAGAGGCCCATTCAACTCAAACATGGACCCGATTACTTCTACAAATTTCATTTACAACAACATCATGTCAGAGTTTTCATCGTTGTTTCGGAACTTCTATTAAAAGATATCCTGAAACAACTTAATACATGATGGGCATAATTAACCTCATTTTAGTCTATAATTTAAACGTCATATTTAAAATTTCATATGTAGGTACATAAGTCCTCATTATAATATTTATCTCTATCATAAAAATATGAAAAAACATTAATAGGTATGTACTTGAGTTTGAGACTTTAGAACTTAGAATTTGCTCATTGCATTCGGCTAGGAAATAAGTGATAGATTATAATTGGTGTATTTTCAAATACTATATCCATTGTATCCTGTTGTGGTTTCTTTAAATAAAGGTATTGCAATTCAATGACATAACTTTTATTTTCACCTTACACACAGCAATTAAATACAAAAATGTGAAAATAAAATGTATGGCTATGTAACAACTAATACATTATCTTACTTTAGAAGAACAGTTTTCATAAATAAATAAATAAGGAATAAATTACTGGCAGTAGCAAGCGTCCCTAGTGTTGCTCTTTATCCATGTCATGTAGCGGTTGACCCTGGTGTACACTCCAGGCCGGTCGGGTCTCGCACATCCCTCGCCCCACGATACAACACCTAAAATGTAGAGAAATGAGAATTTTTACTGAGAGTATAACTTTTGGTTAGTACTAAACAGGAGGGTTTGCGTTATAAATAACTGACTCTAATTTTAGAATAAGTAGGTATCACCACGATGGGGAGACCAAAACAGTGCTAAAAATATATTTCTCTTAAGTTAATATAATTTCGTATTACTAATAGGTACTACATATATTCAACATCGAATGTAGTGGCCTGTGGTAGTGGCGTAGCTAAGGAGTCAAGAATGTGCATTATGGCCGCGCCTCTTTACTTGGGGAAGCCTCTCGTTTTGGTCATTATTGCCACTCTACAATGTCCCAAACGGAAACACCGCAGTTATCAGTTTGTTTCAATAATCTAAGGATCTTAGACGTGGAGTTGACTTCTTTGCACAAGCAGTCTATCAAATGCTTTGACGTTTTTCACGTACCAACTTCCTGGAACTGCGCATTAGTGGTGTTGACGATGTGCAGGGGGCCACCGGAGTCACCCTGGCACGCGTCGCGGCCGCCGTCCGGCTCGCCTGCGCACAGCATGTTCTCAGTGATCCGCTGCTTGTACGCCGTCTTGCGGCAGTCGGCGTTCGATATGATGGGCACGTATACCTGGAGGAAGTTATAAGTTTATCGTTGTATTCATCAAATACCTACTTAGCATCTTGTAAATAGTGTGGCAGAGAGAACAGCTATCTTCTGTGGTGCGCCAACCGACCTCAGCCAGTCACATGGATGCGCATATAATTTTATCAGTTGTTATTGCTGCCAGCTAAGCTGTATTCCATGGTGCCCCATTCGACGTCCACACCTCTAATCTTTCGTCTAAACAGAACTACCATGAACTTGGCATATTCGTCTGCTTGTTTTTTATTTAAAAAAAAACTGAGAGAGAGGACCGCCTTCTCCACGGTACGCCATCTGTAGACTATCAGCAAGCAACCACGAATGGTTGGCAGACACGTGAGGAGCCAGTCCAGCAGCAATTTTTTAATATTTCGTAATTCGTCTGCTTACCTCTTGTAAAGTGTTAGAGACAGAACCGCCTTCTTCAGTGGTGCCCCATCCGGCTACAACGCCGCTATAGTTGCTGTAGGACAGACCGGCGGTGGGCAGGCACACGGGGCGCAGGCCTACGTCATCACTTTCCTCCTCACTACTACCAGACCCAGAGCCAGAACCGGTCTCATCTTTGCGCACACGTTTCTTTAGAGCACTGCTGAGGTCCACCTGCAACGGAAAAATAGTAAAATTTAGATAATCTGATGAATCTAATTATCTGGTGAAAGTTGCAGGAGGTGCCTGGATGCGGGCGGCGCAGGACTGGTCGTTTTGGAAATCCTTGCGGAAGACCTTTGTCCAACAGTGGACGTCATTTGGGTGAAACGTGGACGGACGACGAAGCTTGATACTATTTATCTTTATTGGGAGGAATTCGTAATACAATTTTGCTAAATCAATAAATGTTCAAAACTGTAGAGTTCTGAAAGGATTAATTACTTGTCTTACCCGGTTGCTTAGTTTTAGTAGAGCAATGTCATTATCGTAGGTGCTGGGGTTGTAGCGCAGGTGGCGGATGATTTGCGCCACGCTCCTATCGACGATCTTTGTCTCGTTGGCCACGGAGCGGTCGTGCTCCAGGAACCGCACCGTGATCTTCTCTTTGCGGAAACTGGAAAAATAAGTGCAACGACTAGGATATTATGCTTTTTTTTAAAGAAGGCCGACTAATCGACGGTCGGTGCTGGGTCGCATCTCGATATTACTGGGGTAATGTGGTGGACGCGGATCTTTGAGAGCTTGAGGCAGACGACTGACATGAAACCTCACAAGATCCAAGTGAAATTCGACATCTATCGGGAACCAAGACACTTTGGGCCTCTCAGCAATAGAAGTAAGTACAGAAAATATTTTCTATCCTTACCCAGCGGTACAATGCGCCGCAGTCAGCACGTAGAGGTCGTTGATGAGCGAGCCGCCGCAGTAGAAGCGGCCGTTGTACATGAGCACCGCCATCCAGGGAAATTCCAGCTTCTTCGTCTCGTAGCCACCGACGATGCGCCTGCGCGTCCGAGCGATGCCGCATTCTGTAGAAAGGATTGAAGAATTAATTTAACTACATAATATTGAAACCAATGCAATGGTACCTACTTCCTGGTTGTAAATGGGCCCAACATAGTAGTTTACAGTAAATTGCCTTTTCTATTTTGTAATCCGCTAACACGCAGAGTACATGCTATAGTAATCTTCCTATATAATTAAGGAAACGCAAAGGTAATCACAATTTCATTAAAATCTAACAAACGCATACGAAACTCATACAAAACAGGAAGTACCTAAGTAGATACAGTATTGTTAGGTAGGTAGGTACCTAGTAGCATAGTATGTGAAGGCCACTCTTTTGAAAATACAATATTTTTCAACTGAAAAGAATAAAGCCCTATTATTAGGAAGTAAAGTATCTGATTGTTTTGTTACTTTTGTCCTACATTGACAAACAGGAAGTAATTGCCGTCTTTCTCAGTTTAACAAAGCGTAATGTGGAGCAAGTTCATTTTTAATAATAGATTTTGTTTACAAAGGGCTTCAACCTTCAGCAGACAGTAAAACTTACTGATATTTTGGGAACTAATAGGTACCTACTCAGGTTAGGTATAAAATATGTTTATTTTAATAATTTGTTCTTTACTCGTATCTATCTTATTTACTACAATCATTTATGATTTTTTTATGAAAAAAGTAGGTGAAGATTCCCGATATCACAAAATAATTCGAAACTACAAACTTTTTAATTGGGAGCGCACTTTGTAATTAATTGCGAACTAGGATAGTGAAGTTTCAAAAGCGAAAGTAAAAAAATCTGTTAGTAAGTCTCTACCTTACTCAGGTGAGGAAGTAGATTTAAAAATGTTTACAGTTGATTGTAAAAATTTACAGTAATTTCTAAGGAAATCGGTAGGGAAGCTATGATTATCTCTAAAAATTTTCAGTACTAGTCGGTACGTAGAATTATCATAGAAAGTGAAAAGAAGCTGAATGAATTTAACCTAAAGGAAAAAGTTGCAGATTTTAACAATAACTCATTTGAATGAAATTTGAATTACCTACGTACTTACTACTTACCTACCTAACCATATGACAAGACTGGCAAGTATTTCTTTGAAAGAATTTTTAGTCATTAGGTACTTTGAAAGATTATCATTTTCTACTTTTCATTCTTGATTCATTGAGGACATGGGTTCGAGTAGACCGAACTAATTAATATCATCTTTATAGTCCCATAATTCATTGAAGTATTTATCATCTTTCCGCATAGCTCTCCATTTGGCAGAACCTGCAATGCAGGTCCTGCATCCTCAAAACCTTCAGTCCAGAAGACAGATCATCTTACACTGAGGCTTATTCTAAATATCCACTCCTCAAAAACCCTATCTTACGTAGGTAAGTGCCGAGCTTTTTGCAACTTTAGCTTTCATCTACTTGGCTACTATTGTTTTTGGGAAAACTCACAATTCTTATTCTCAGATTCACTATCTAAACAGAACTTTTCTCTCTACGAAAATAATAAATATACTCACGGCAAACTGGGCAGTCATCCGGAGGGTCTTGCACTGGCCTCAGCGTAGTGCTGGGTCCACCAAGCAGGTTGGTGATCCAGTCTATGAAGCCCTTGTCCTGGGCACCGTCCTGGCTCTTCAGAGGCGACTCCAAGGAGTGGCAGCTCACGTAAGCTGCCGCACAGAGCAGCAGTAGCAGCTTCATGGTATCTGGTGATATGCTTGAAGTCAATATTTGACATCTAAGACAGTGATGACCAAGAGGTCGACCGCGGTCTACCGGTCGACCGCGCAAACGATTTTGGTAGCCCGCGAAAGTTAAATAAACTGAACAGAATGATTGAAAATGAAAAAATATTTATTTCACTCTTCTAAACTGCACCTTGCAGAAATATTTTCGAGCATAAGTAGACCTCACAGGTCACAAGTTTGGCCACCCCTGATCTAAGACATAGTCGGAGCGGAGTTAGACCAATGCCTTGCAGTATACAGTGTGAGTCACGTTAAAGTGTACATATGAAAATAGATGAAACTAGACCTATTTTTATCGACAAAAAAGAGGTCAAAAAATTTTTGAGATTTTTTTTTAAATTTTTATCGAATTTTTTTTCTTCCAATTACTTATTGTAAAGAAAACGTAATAACTTTTAAACTAAGCGGTATATCCTGATAAAATAAAAACAGTAATAATGCCAAATAACAGGCGATACTAAAAAAATACATAAAATACACAAAAAATGCCAACAAATAATAAAAAATGATACTTTTTGAAAAAAATCTGCTTAAAAATTCGTGTTTTTTTGGTTATTTGATAAATTTCTCCAAAAAATGCCCCTATAACTGGTGGTTTTTATTATTTTGTATTATTCTCTATCGTATTACCTTCGTAAAACCAAAAATCGCATGTCTCTATTCCTATCACAACATTTGCTATGATCGTTTGAACAAAGGCCTGCCACAACATTATTATCCGCTACAGGTAGAGACAATTTTAATTTTAACTAAAATGCTTATTTTACTTCGAAATCTTTTGTTTTTATTTGAAATCTAACTTGTCTTTATCAAAATTACAAATCTAGAGCCATTTTCAGTTTCTTTGTTAACGAAGCGTTGAATGGCGCGCCCGGAGAGGCTTAGTTCAAACAATCATAGCAAATGTTGTGATAGGGATAGAGACATGCGATTTTTGGTTTTACGAAGGTAATACGATAGAGAATAATACAAAGTAATAAAAACCACCGGTTATAGGGGCATTTTTTGGAGAAATTTATCAAATAACCAAAAAAACACGAATTTTTAAGCAGATTTTTTTCAAAAAGTATCATTTTTTATTATTTGTTGGCATTTTTTGTGTATTTTATGTATTTTTTTAGTATCGCCTGTTATTTGGCATTATTACTGTTTTTATTTTATCAGGTTATACCGCTTAGTTTAAAAGTTATTACGTTTTCTTTACAATAAATAATTGGAAGAAAAAAAATTCGATAAAAATTTAAAAAAAAAACTCAAAAATTTTTTGACCTCTTTTTTGTCGATAAAAATAGGTCTAGTTTCATCTATTTTCATATGTACACTTTAACGTGACTCACACTGTATTTCACTGATCGAGTTAATGGTCAGGCTGTCGTGTTCCTATGTTTTCCCAATTCTTTTCGCCTACGCTCTTTAAATCAATAAACTTATTGAATGTCTCATTTTACATAAAAGAGCAAATAATATAAAATAATGTCCTGCTCCCAACTGACCCACTTCGGAGCAGAACATTACCGTAAAGCGTATAAAATTGCACATTTCGCATATTTTTATCGCGCCAAAGTTATCAAATCGACAATAACGATTGGATTTGAATATAAAATTGCGCTTCTTACGTTTTGCAAACAAGGGCAAGGTGAAATCGGGTCGAAAAACGCAGATACGACGGCGGGTACCGCTACTTCAATCATTCGTCTCATCAGCATCCTATTAGCATACTAACTCATTTGTTTTTATTAGCACCCGTATCGTCAGGTCTCATGGTGGTTAAACGTTTAGATAGCCCCATGGAACAGATACATATTCAATACCTATTATCTTCACTGAGACAAACAGCAAACAGCATTGTAAATTGTAGGGTGCGAAGAATAAAGAAAGGCACGATAAGAATAAACAAATGTACTTAACTTACCCTATTTATAAATAAATAAATAAAACTAATAGAAATAACACGATCATTAAAATACCACTCCTTCACTCTAATACGAGTAACTTTATCAGTTTTATCACTGTATACCTATGTAAATAAATAAGGTCCTAAACAGTAAAGCGCTCTAACAAGTTAGCAAAGAGCTTTCGGTAGCCTAAAATCTTATGGGGAGGGTTTAGTAGATAGAAGATTCTATCCGTAGAATCAACGATGTGCGTTTTATAAGAAAGAAATACATATTGCAATTTAACAAGAATTGTAGGTTTAACAAGCAGGACACCGCATGGAGATATCCGATTGATATTCCAAACAAATTCCTTATTTATTTGACACGTATAGGTAATCAGGCGCACTGTTTGGTATGCGCGTGCTCGTCCCGACTCGTTCTAGGCCTTAGAGAGCTCGTTTTCCTGTTATATTACCCGACGGAAATGAAAGTAGATCTCAGTATACTATTCCTATTTATTACACCAATTTAATTAAACGCTTCATTAGGAGTAGTAATAGTCAGTTTAATTTATTACATTTTGTAAGTTATTGGTATAATGTTTCGCGAATATGCGGCAATTTTTTAGTGTTCAGCCACAGCGTTTAGTGGTTTGAGTCCCTGATAACAAAGACAGAGCGGCTGCTGGTTCGAATCCTGTCCATGAGCGTAACTTTAATCTATTCATTCGTTAGCTCTGCCTAGATTGAACTAGAATAGGAAACAACAAAAGATGCTTCAGAAACGCGAATTTTATAAAAACCGCAGGCTCAGTTAAGCGGTAAGATGGTAGCTCTATTTTTTAATTCAAGAAGATGTAGCCATAAAATAAGGACTATAGTTATAGTAACCCTGCAAATGGTTGGTTAGGTTTTCAGCTTAGGTTCAGTCGAGTAATTAAAAACAAGGAACTTTTCAATTAGAGAAGTTAAATGGTGGACGCTGACTCTACATAGTGTTTTTGAAAATCCTGATTCCTATTACACGAATTTACACAACACACTGGGGAGGCTTTTGTCCAGCAGTGGACGTCTTTCGGCTGAAACGAACGAACGAACACAACTCTACAGTCTGATCTCATACCCTGGGATTACGGGAGCACTCTGCTGTAAAGTGGAACCCATCCATATCGAACAATTCAAACTTTTAAAAAACTTACTGAAAAGCGCGGGAACGCTTAAACTTTAACGATCAGAGATTAGCCTTATATTTAAAAGATAGATTAGTCCGCAAATATTTAAAGATTTTTAATTTCAGGCTACTTGGCGGAATTCTTTTGTTTTAATTTTCTTAGATTCAGTTACGAAAAGAAAAATAAAATTATTCACGCATCGCACTAAATGAAGCACTTGGAAAAAATCACCGTAGGTATATCAAGGTCAAAATTACACTAAAAGAATAATCACCGAAATTCAATGACACCACACAGACATCGATTAGGAATCACACAGGATCGATAAAACAATAATCGGACTCACTCACAAGAAGACGGCCGCGGTTTGTCCAAGGAAACCGAATGGCGGTCGCGCTTGCAAAACCGTTGAGCCGTGGAAACAGAAAGAGAAAGAACTATCTTCACTTTCACTCTGATGTTCCACTTTACCCTCGCAGGATCGCCTCCGGAGTGCCTCGTTCCCGCCCGCACGGCGCATATAAACTCTTAAATACTACCTACAGCCATCGTCACAAATTCCATAACAGATATAGGTAATTTCAACGGAATCACTATCGGTAAACGCCGTAATTATAACATTATCGTGGCTTTATGTGGGACTTAATAGAGCTCACCAGCATGCAACGAGCCTGAAATGAAAACCTAGGTTTCTAGAACTAGAGATTATTTACGTAATTATTGGCTTATTTTTTTCAATCCTACTAATATTATAAATGCGAAAGTTTGTGTGGATGTCTGGATGTTTGTTACTCTTTCACGCATAAACTACTGAACGGATTTTGATGAAACTTTACAGTATTATTGTTTATAATCCAGAATAAAACATAGGTACGCTATAACTTATGACGATCTGTGACAAACTAAATTTTACGCGGGTGAAGCCACGGGCAAAAGCTAGTATTAAATAAGATTATCTTACCTAACCCATACCTAAATTGGCAGGACTAGAGTTGGACTAGAATGCTTGTTGTAATGGGTCTACCTCTTTTTTTTGTAACGAACACCAAGTAGTTCATATTTTAACAGATTACTCATCCAGATTTCATTGATATTTCAAAGTAATTAAGAAACTTAATTATTTAATAGGTAACACACAGGTCTTGCTTATTTAAACAAGCCCCTATCTTGAACCTACACCTAGTACATAGATAGAGTCGAATTATAATAATAATAACCCCCAACATGTTTGCCATTTTGACCACCAGAAGTTTTAGCAAAGACATTAAGAATAATGAGAAATATTCCAATTTACAACAAAAAATCCAAGTTGAATCCAATGGGTGCACGTGCTCGTGAATGCACCCCATGCAAGCGCCTGATAAATTTTAAACATTCAAACTTCAAGTTGCTTAGTATGTGCCAAGCGCCTTGCCTCTACGTGTTTGCAACCATTCACTGCAAAATGCTAAAGACTTGCAAAAAGTAACTGAAACTCTACAGACGGACTTATTCTACATGAAAAATAGACTTTCATTAACTTTACAGTGTAAATGACAGTAATCACGTAAAGATACATAACTGATTTTGACTAAGGTGTAGATTTTGTGTAGTTAGGGCTTGTAGAGTTAGGATGTGTACTTAAAAGTCTCACTCGAAAACAAATGAAGAATCTGGCCTACATGTGAATGTAGATGAATCAAACAGTACAGAAGCTTCATACAAACCACTACATTCGACCCGATACTAGTGTGATGTTTGCATGGTGTCCTTTAGTCACCTTCTACGACATCCACGAGAAGATAGAGTGGAATTATACTCTGCCGGAGTAGAAGTAATTGAAATATTATATGTAACTATTTCATCAATTAAAATTAACATCTGATCCTGAACTTTTGTATTGTAACTATACATAATGTGCGCTAAAGTGTTTGCAAATAAACGATTTATCCTGTAGAAACTACGTATAATTTGCCATATTACACTACTACCATTCCCGTGATATTATGTCCAGAAAGTATTCTATATTTATCTTCTAGTTTCCTTATACAACAAATACCTAGCTAGTAGTTTTTCCATAATTTTCTGCTATAAAGCTTGTTAAGATATAGGTAGAGCATCAATAAAGACATGTACGAGAGATAATACCTAATAGGAAAACATATGGTTTGTTTTTACAGGTTTTTTCAAAGTAACATGTTGCCAGGGCCCTTGAGGGTATGACTATTACACAATTACTTAGGTAGGCACATTGATTAGGTAGGTCTTTGCCGATTTGTGTTAGCATAGAATATGTAATTGTCTACAATACTCATCTCCCTTGCATTAGTAAACAGCGATGAGTAGGTGCGGTAATGACATACTTACCATTCGGAAAATTTACAAGCGAACCTACTTAAACAATCCTTGAACAGATAGCTACAATTAATCATTGTTTTGTTGTTGTATTTTCAATGATATTGTTTCACTGCGGCGATAAATTTAAAGCGAAAACGATACGCAAAGTAGGGCGGCCACACGGCCGCGCCGCATGCTGGCCACGCGTCCTGAATGGGTGTGTCACCGATGCAATTGCAATTCATTCAGACAGACCCATAAATAAGATTAGCTTGCTCTACCATTGTGGTTAAACTCGTGCGAGTGAATTTTATAGATAAATAAGAACAACCGAATGTAAGCACATTTGTAACATCACATAGAAAGGACTATATCGGCCGTTTGGTGTAGGGTTCAGAACGGACTACTATGCCGAGAGGTCCCGGATCCCGGGAGAAATTGAAATGATTAATTTTAATTCTGTGACGAGTCTGGGTGTTACTATGTATAATATGCATTTTATGCAAGTATTTACAAAAAATTAAAAAAAAATTAAGTATGTTTATATCCGTTGTCTAGTACCCATCCCATAGAACAAGCTTTGCTTAGTTTGGGATTAGAAGCGTAGTGTAAAATGTCCAAGGATATAATTTAGGTAGGTATTATTTATTTATTTATTATAAAAAAATATGTATTTGGTCGACACAATTTACAGATGTTAAACTACATATATTTTTTAGTTTCACTAACTATAATTACTGCTATGGAGTATGATCTACATAAAACTACTTGTATTAAAAGATATAAAGGAGTATCTGTGACTCATAACTAAATAGAAAACTTAATTGGTTTCAACTCTATTAACCATTTAATGACTCTATCTTACAAAAAAGGTGCCTATTAGGTGGCTATAAAATTAATCAATTACAATTTACAACGCCCTAATAAATCAACTTTCCACTGAGTTAGCGCGAAATCTTTTCACTTTCAAATCTATAGAGCATAATAAAAGATATAAAGTAACTTTTACCACCTAATTATTGTGCGAACAATTGAAACTCGATGTTTACTCGCTCAATACGCCACTGATTTCAATGGTAATGCATAATTATAACTATACATAATATGAGGCTGCATTGTTATCGTAATACGGGCGACACCGTTGCCTTGGCCCGATTGCTGCGATCTTCAGGCGCTGGCGCAGCCGCGGCTCTACCGCCGAAAACGGACGCAAGGCCACCCCGAGATTATTATACATACAGGAAATTACCATACAACGGTTAAACCCATCTAAACTAGAGAAAAATAGGAAGTTTCCATCTCAGTACACAACATACTGTTTGTTTTCCGCTACTTATCGAAAAGGAAAACAATTACAATGACACGCATTCCTAAAAAAAGGTCATACATTTCTTAAAACAGTATGTTTGTTTGTAAATCATTACTGTCACCGATAAATCAGTAAACGCATTTTATATCATTGCAGACGTTATAAATGCGAAAGTAGTATGGCGCCTCGTGTTATTGTGGTATTTGGGTAGGTCAGTGTGAGAGTCCGTATGTTTGTTCCAAAATATCGAAAATTGCAAAACGTTAAAAGCGTCGTTTAATCCTGGTTGCATAATGTGTTGGGCAATATTGTCCAAATAAAACGAAATTTAACGAACAAGTCATACGGTGGTCTGCGGCGCGGGTGTAATTACCGCATTGCATAACAAAGCTCAGCGTTCTAAAAGGATACTCTTGAACAGGACTTACTTTTGCTTAACCTAATAGAACAGTAACTCTTACTATACAGGGTGTTAGGTAAATGGGTATATGAGCCGACACTAACCCATGTTAACATGGGCATATAAATGGTATGGTGAAGTCAGAAAATTGATATCTTAATTTTTTGGGCTAGTGTCGGCTCATATACCCATTTACCTAACACCCTGTATACCTTTTTCTTTCCAACGTCAGATCCTGGAGAGAGTAAAACGACCAAAGCTCATACTCGAGACTGAAATTAATCATGCGCAACGAGACAGGAATGCCAAACCAGCTCCTTAATTAAATTCTTTACTCCGTTATTTTCAATTAAACCTTCGAGGTGCATCTCAATCTTGAATTAATTGCAACAGTGTTAACTTGCGTCAAATAAAGGAGATGTTAAACGGTACTAAATGGGTTAACTTAATAAGCCATGACTTAATTGAGCGTTAATTACAATGTGTGAGCACTCACACATTTTCATCGTCATTAATGCAATGAAGCATGTGATAACACAATACTCGTAACATTTTCTTTTATTTGATTTATATTATTCAATAATTAATCCCCTTAATTAACAACTTATAATAATCTTACAATAAGATAAGAAACTTATAAGAAGAAGAATAATCTTACAATTAAATAGTCCATTAAAAGATTTGGATGTGTAATACAAAACCGATCGATTCAGCTTTTATTAATGAATTTAAAAAAATCTCTTGACACCATTTTTTCACCGATTAACCTACAAATTCGTGTGCATTGAAAGCAGAAAGGATGTGGCCATGACGTGTATGATGCAATGCTTCATAAACTTGCAACCGCAACATTAAATTGATACACAACATAACTCCAGGATTTCTTTATCGTCGATCATCGCAGCATATGAATGTTTATTCTGACACTGACTGAAAGCTCTACGTGCCTAAAACATGGTTTTAACCTGACAAGGATTTCAGTTAACTTACAGCCCACCTTTATATTCTTCTTTTCATAATTTAACGGAATCGTAATAAACGCCCACGGCTTCATAATTTTAAAATATGCGATACCAATGTGCTACTTACTTAGTCTTAAGACAGTTTGCCACAAGTTTCGTGCATGCGCAAGAGTTTGATGAATGGCATGACACGGAGAACGATTTGCAGTAAACTTTGTACACCCTAAAACCAGTCGTAAAGACGAGGATGCATCAATTTTATTTGCATTTCCCAACGGTTAGTCCTCTCGATGCAGTTACGTAACGCAATTTATTTTGATGGGTGTTATTAATATGGCGCTACATAAATCAAAATCAATAAATTGATTTCTGAATCATTCATTCTTTTTAACACACGAGCAAAAGCACTTAGATCTTTTGTTTTCAAGAATTCGTATTCATTTGAACATGTCTTAATTTTCATGGCGTTTCCGGATGCCATGTAATTAGACACTAATGCCATCTTTACTCGGAAGAAAAACAAATGATAAAAGCGCGACGATGAACGTCAAGGTCATTAACTACTCCCATCGCTGGCTGTGCCCCCAGCAGCAAGCAGTGGGGTGTTCAGATTGAGCGGCGCAGCGTCATTCTCGCAGTGCTCGCGTTGCCGTGAACTTGGCCTGCGCTCACCCTGGCCCCGAGGCGTTATCGGAGGCGCCGCCCGCGCCCTATAATAGCTGGGCCGGCGTCTCCCCCTACCTCCAGATTGGGCTACGACTCCGGCAGACATGTTTCGCGCCTTGTTCATCCTCGCTGTGGTGGCTGTCGCTCGCGCCTGCAAGCCCTGCAGTGAGTTTCATCTTCTATTTTCAAAAACGGTGACCAATACAATCGGCCAGTTCTTTTAAAACAAAAGTGCATTATTAAAATGTGGTATGTCCAATATTCGGTGAAATAGCGACTTCAGAAAGTTCGAAAGCGGATATATTAATCGATGCGATGTTTTGAATTTCGTAACGAAACTATTATCGGATTTGGAACTCGAGTGCACTTGTGGATCCAATACGATTCAGGTTTTAATTTCTAATGCGCCATTCGAGCATTCCTCAATTTCGGTTATGTCATGAAGTGCTAATATCATTGAGTGCTTTTAGAGAGTCCGCCTCTTGAGCTTGCGGTGTGCAATATGGCTGGTGTTCCACAAGTGTGTTAAGTGCCAGAGGGTGTGTGCGCAGCCACTTCAACCGCTCGTTTTGTTGTTAATCGCTAATTAATTACTAACATCCGCGTATTTCGGTAGAAACCGGGAACGATTTATGTTTTGTGCGGTGAGCTTTAGTCCTGAAAAGATCATCACGTCATAACGCTATTAAGTATTGTTTCAGTATCAAGTGCATTTCAGTTGTAACCCACATCGTTATCGCGGTGGTGGCGACTTAACCCAGTTTTGTGACAATAAATTAATGACATGAACGCCCTTTAAGTCACGGCGAAAACCATAAACGAAGTATTCTCATTTATTACGCTATAAAATTTACGATAGTTACATAGGTGGTTGTAGAATTTTTGTGATAATGTGATTTTGGATAATTTATTTCTTTAATGAATTTTCTTAATCAACTTTATAATGTATAGCAAGCTGCAACCTGCAATTAAACAACTGAGAAAAAATGACTGTTTTTCTTCGCCATTTTTTCGCGACACCACCCGATTTGATGTCCCGAAGTGGTTATAGGGGGTTATCCCCAAAGGTGTACAAAGTACTCGATTTCAATTCTTAGATTCGGCACATACATTATTTTTTTTGTAAATTAACTTACTTGGATGACGCCGACGACCTCATAAAGGTAGCAAGCAGGAAGGCGCTGGATGCAGGCCGCCACCAACCGGCCATTGTGGAAATCTTTGGGGGACCTATGTTCAGCAGTGGATGTCCTTTGACTGAAATGATGATGCTAATAACCCCCTGAAAGTTAAATATGCTTATGTGGGTTACGATTACGAGTGGATTGACCACTATAGTCCAGCGCGAGTTCGAAACCTCAGATCTTAATTCAGCTAGTCCGACACTGACACCGGGCTATTGTTGAAATTGCGCTATTTCTGTGGGCTATTGGTTGTTGGTAATTTCTTTAACCCTTTCTTACTATCACAGCATGCGGGGTGGCACGAGGCGCGCGGGTGGTCGGAGGCGTGGCCGTGACTCCGGGCGAGCTGCCGTGGCTGGCGGCGCTGGTGCGCGACGGGAAGGTCATCTGTGGCGCCACCGTCGTCGCCCGGGACCACCTCATCACCGCCACGCACTGTGTCCACGAGTGAGTACCAGCAGAGATATGGGAGGCAGGACAGCAGGAGCAGATTGTGTTCTCACTGTTGCAGCTTGTGGTGTGGCGCGAGGCACCACGGTCGTTGCCTGGGACCCTCATCACCGCCACGCACTGTGTCCACGAGTGAGTACCAGCAGAGATATGAGAGGCAGGACAGCAGGAGCAGATTGTGTTCTCACTGTCGCAGCTTGTGGTGTGGCGCGAGGCACCACGGTCGTTGCCTGGGACCCTCATCACCGCCACGCACTGTGTCCACGAGTGAGTACCAGCAGAGATATGAGAGGCAGGATAGCAGGAGCAGCAGGCAGTGTTCACATTATCACAGCCAGTGGGGTGGCGCGAGGCACCACGGTCGTTGCCTGGGACCCTCATCACCGCCACGCACTGTGTCCACGAGTGAGTACCAGCAGAGAGATGAGAGACAAGATAGCAGGAGCAGCAGGCAGTGTTCACATTATCACAGCCAGTGGGGTGGCGCGAGGCACCACGGTTGTCGCTTGGGACCACCTCATCGCTGCCACGCATTGTGTTCACGAGTGAGTACTAGCAGAGATATGAGAGGCAGGACAGCAGGAGCAGATTGTGTTCTCACTGTCGCAGCTTGTGGTGTGGCGCGAGGCACCACGGTCGTTGCCTGGGACCCTCATCACCGCCACGCACTGTGTCCACGAGTGAGTACCAGCAGAGATATGAAAGACAGGATAGCAGGAGCAGCAGGCAGTGTTCACATTATCACAGCCAGTGGGGTGGCGCGAGGCACCACGGTTGTCGCTTGGGACCACCTCATCACTGCCACGCATTGTGTTCACGAGTGAATACCAGCGGAGAGATGAGAGGCAGATAGTGTCCTCACTGTCACAACCAGCGGATTGTTGCGAGGCGCCTCCGTCGTCGCTTGGGACCACCTCATCACTGCCACGCATTGTGTCCACGAGTGAGTACCAGCAGAGAGATGAGAGACAAGATAGCAGGAGCAGCAGGCAGCAGGTCATCTGCAGCTCCAGTCGTCACCGGGAACCCCGCATCACTATCACGCACTCTGTCCACGAAAAAAACTGTCCTGCATCTGCAGAGGTTTCATCTAAAAGACTGCAGGACAAAGACCTCCACCAAGGGTTTCCACGAATGGTCCTGCGATGCAGGTGCTGGTCACATTACCAGATCTTGTTGATCAGATGATGCCCTTGAGTATTTTTTTTTATTTGCGTTGAGCGGCTATTCTGGTTCTATAAAGTCCTAGTATCACAGCGACCGCTATCCATCTATTGTGATCGCCACCGTTTTCCTTACTTGCCCACGAGCAACTTAGCATAAGAAAACTCTAACATAGATTTTGTTATATAGTGTCACGCCAAGATTCATGAATGATTTAGCCCTGCGAGCTGCGATGCTATTGTGTGAAGGCGTGACGAACGATTCACCTAAGGTATGCCCGGTGGCAAGGTTGTGTACAATTTGAAAAACTTAAAGCGTATATTTATTAACCTAATTCATAATTTTCAAACTGCATCGTAGTTTAAATCGTATTTCTTTACTTAATTTCTCCTCAATTTACATGACAAATTAATCAAATTCATCAGATATGTACCATCCTAGACTGCATCTCACTTAACACCAGGTGCGATTGCGGTCAAATACCTGCCTTGGCTAGCATAAAAAAAAAATCTTTCCATTGACGCCACGACCCATTTTTGTGGTCAGCAGATGGTATTTAGTAAACTACGCACAATCGAAATCGCCAAAATATAAACATAACCATATATCTTCTTATGCAAAATGATTAAGTCATAAAAATAATTATTATAATTCATGGAAATCTCTTGATTTACAATTTCGATATAAAAGAGTTCAACGCGTTAACGCGCATATGGAGTTGAAATACGCTTATTATTTTTTTAGGGTTCCGTAGCCAAAATGGCAAAAACGGAACCCTTATAGTTTCGTCATGTCCGTCTGTCCGTCTGTCCGTCTGTCCGTCTGTCACAGCCGATTTACTCGGAAACTATAAGTACTACAGTGATGAAATTTGATGGGAATATGTGTTGTATGAACCGCTACAAAATTATGACACTAAATAGTAAAAAAAAGAATTGGGGGTGGGGCCCCCCATACATGTAACTGAGGGATGAAAATTTTTTTTTCGATGTACATACCCGTGTGGGGTATCAATGGAAAGGTCTTTTAAAATGATATAAAGTTTTCTAAAAAACATTTTTCTTAAAGTGAACGGTTTTTGAGATATCAGCTCTCAAAGTCGTAAAAAGTATGTCCCCCCCCCTCTATTTTTATAACTACGGGGTATAAAATTCTAAAAAAAATAGAGGTGATGCATGCTAATTAACTCTTTCAACGATTTTTGGTTTGATCAAAGTATCTCTTATAGTTTTTGAGATAGGTTGATTTAACTGTAATTTTGGTTAAGTTATTGTGCTTACACTGAAAACGATGGCTGAACCTTATAAGATAGATCAAAAAATATACTACAGTATTGTACACCTTTTAAAATCCGCGATGATATAAAATCTTTATAATGTAGGTACTTTTTACGAGAAATATTAGCTTATTCAAGCAATACGCCATTAATCCTTATCCAGTAATGTACCTTAAATACATTGTGCATTTGATAAAGTTTAATATTACAAATGTGATTGTTGAGTAATAATAGGTTAAACATATCCATCGAACCAATATTTTTAAAACGCGTTAATCCTATAGATTATTATTACATCGATTCAAGAAGATCGGTCGCTCGCTGCGCTGCAGCGCGTGAGTTGCGGGGCGTGGTCTCGCGCGGGAGCGGGGATAAGATAGCTAACCGCGTCGACCCGAACGGGCAGACACGTGAGGGCAGACGTCGTTGTCACTTGTGCGCGCTAAGAGAATTTCATCGTTCCCATTTACTTCTTTCGCAAGTCGAATTTGGCGTTGAGACTTTTTAATATTGAATTGTACCTATTATAAAAAATAAGTAAGTAGGTATACTGGTTTAATAGGTGCTATTAAACCGGTCACGTACTAATAAATCCCCCAATAATATAAATTCCTTTGTTTTTGGTGCAAATTTTAGTGTTTCGTAGCAGGTTTTTAAAATTTCTAAAGCTTATTGTATATCATCTAACAATGGATACTTTAGATAATACGTTTTCCTACATTCTGAATTATAATAACTATATCGAAGATGATGTGGTTCGCGCATTTCATGAAAAGTTACTTCGGTGCACATCATTTAGACCGCGTGAGCTAGAATTATTTCAACACCCTGAACTGATTGAACCTGTACCTAAAAATGAGACGCACCTTCAAGTAATTTATGACGGTGACGTGGGATTAGTGGGGCACTGGAGTTGTATTTATTACATTAATGGAATACTGCGTGTGTACGATAGTCTTGTTGGTGTTCTAGGAAAATCGCAAAAAATATATGTAAAAGCCTTGTTTCCGTATCTATCGGAGTCATGTATTCAGTTTCCAAGTGTTCAGCGACAACCGAATACTATTGATTGTGGTTTGTTTGCCATTGCTTTTGCCACCTCTTTAGCTCGGAATATTTATAAATACATATATAAAATTAATATTCATACATAAAAGTACAAGGCAAAATATCGGGAGAGTTTAGGCTCCATTCACCAGGTGTATAAATTGACATAATAAGTTTATTATATTTGCTGCTACGGAACCCTTTGTGCGCGAGCCCGACTCGCACTTGGCCGGTTTTTTTAATCATAATTTAATTTAATATAGCATGAGACTAAATAATTTTTAATAATTGATTTTTAGAAAATAGGACCGATTTATTTAGATGAATAATATTATTATAATTATAAAACTGACTAAAACACCATTGCAACTCCGTTAATTGTTTGACATCAATAAAAACAGAATGATGTAAGATGTTAACTTGATTTAGTTTTCAATTCAAAACTTTAATAGTTTTCTTTTAATGATTTAAAAAACATTCTGATATAAGCCTAGTTAAATTCCAAAACTGGCAATATCTTTTACTTAATTGTTACGTATGTTATAAAGTAGCCGTGGTAAATACGAGTACATTAGACAGTTATTATAAGCTTTTACTCATCTGTGATGTAATAGATAAATAATATCTTTGAATAATTTAGAAATTACGAAGACTAAATGTTAAAATCGAAATTGGTGGACTCTCTTTCTTTTGAATATGCGCTTTTGACCTTGTTTTCGTTGACTTTGACCCCCACGTGTACAGTCAGTTATAAAATAATGCACGCATGAAAGCATAATAAAAATATTTCCGAGTTTTATAGAAAAATAAATTGAACAAATCTCTCTCAATCTAGACTCTAATAATCTAAAAGATCTAAACTTACTGGAATTGGACTTAAAAGTCATTTATTGCCAATCATGTTCCAATACCAAGAGACATAAATTCTTACAAATATGCTTAGAATTAATATTCATAACTAATGTCTATCTGGATTAGGAAATATCTAGCCGAACGACTATTTGATGGAGACTATGTATATCCAGCTGTAAAAAGTCGAGTCGTAAATGTTGATAATCAAGAAATGCTTCACTCAAAAAAGCTACGTCTTGTAGAGTCGTTTGCATTTCGGTTGACCAGACAGGATATAAAGTTATCTTTGTTAACACGTGATGATTACACAATAATATTATTTTTAGGTCTTTACAGTAACGCGTACAAATTCGATTTCGATGTGAAAGTTAATGAAAGCTATCTGCTTTCGTTCACTTAAAATGAGGACTGTAAAAGAAACAAAATATTGTTGAAACTCCGATGTAAGGTTCTGATGAATTTACTCGTAGCCTAAATGTGGCATCATTAGTTATGCACATATATTTTTCTTCGAGAAAACACGGTTATGCTACGCCTTGATTAAATGAGTTCATGTTTACAAGTCCTTTGTATAGATTATTGCACACTTCTGTAAAGTGGCTGAGTGTAACTTTTCAATTAGTTTCTTAACTAGCCACTATGGGCCTTTAGACTAACAGAGTTGAATGATTACATTTACATTTCGGTACATCTCAACGAGTCAAGTTTTCTCATTTGAGTGTTTGGCTTTATGTAAAAGTACTTACTAAATGTGAAAGAATATGTTTGAGCAAGGCTCCGAAAAGATGAATTACGTTCTGTGACTGGCAATTCAGGTCATCTTTTCTCCTCAGTGAATAGCAATCAATTGCAATACCCACTTTCTTGACAACCAAAATTAAGGACAGCCATGCAAAAATGCAAATCTTGTAAAACTGTTTTGCAATAAATTTTAATAAGATATGAATATGTCAATGAGGAATAGTTGATTGTTTATTATTTTTACAAGATGACTAAACTTACTATAAAATAAATTATTGTACTGAACTTCTGCAAAGAATACCTAAAATTAGGTGAAATTTGAATATCCACAAATTCACAACGCTTTGATGGCTAAACGGATTTCGATCACACTTCGCACACAGCTGCGCCTAAATTGTAGTATGTACTTACTTTGTAGTTGTTATTTACCGTGGGTAGAGTCGCAAGCTATCTCTAGAATTTTACAGCTAGAGTTACTGCAAATTCCGACTGTGATCCCTCTAATTGGTATTTCAATATAACATGGAAGTCATGAATATGTATGGGTTTGCCAGACCAATCATTACGAGCTGCCCGATGCACTTGCGATCTGCAAACAATGCTCTGTTTGTATAATAAATAATAATGTAGGCGAACAAAAATCGGTGAAAGCTGCGAGCTTCCTATGATGGCAAGATAGTAGTAGTAATTTCTTTGGCATAATAGAAAAAAGTAATCGAATTTTTCATGATCATTTCAATCAAGTTCATTTTTTTAAATTTTAATTGAGATGTTAGAGTATCAGAACATGCATTCCTACAATAAGATTCAATTATTTATAATAAGTAATTGACAATAACCTACATAAGATAGTAGGGCGGTAAATTAATTACATATATCCAAATAATCCTTTTTTGAAATCGAACGCGTGATCCCACTTGCGACGCCACTGAACCAGCTCGTCCCCTCATCCAGTAGATGTGGTAAATGAAAAAATATATTTAAATATCACGCCCTTTAGGGCAGGTGTTGCAAATTGAACACATGATTGACCTCTCAACATTGGGGTCGCTTTCTAATTACGCAAGTCAGATCCTCTGTCCAGATGCAACATTTGCATGTGCATTGTCGTCAAACAGGGCAACGATTGTTTCGTCATGGCCTGTCATTATAAACCTGCCACACTAAATGTGGCTGAGAATTTGTAAGCTCTGCCTCGGAGAGTATTCGTTTCTTTGTGAAACCGAATTGTAACACATTTTTGGTCATATTCGCTCGAAATATCTTGGGTAGCGTTGAAGATAAGCCCGTCAGGGTTAGATTACCAAGTCTCTTCTTCTTGCATACTAAACGCCCAAAATCGAGGCACGACATATTGATGTCGCAATGGTCGCTATTCTTATGAAGATACGAGAAAAAAATATATATTCTAGGTCTCATTGAGATAACAATTATCTCATCCTTAGGAATCTTGACACTCCCATCTCTTTAAATTATGTTTATCAGCACATATTTCAACGTAGTAGGTCGTAAGGGGCCTTGTTTCAATGTTGAAATTATTTCTGTCCTTTGTGAGCATAACCGATTAAGAAATATCTCCTGTTATCTTGGTTCTTATTATCACAAGAAAACATTTGTTTTGCGTCGTTTCCAGCACCGAAGACCCTGACGTCATATTGAAATTCAAACAGCGTCATTTTGTGTAACTTAGTACATGCAGTCACTTGATTTAGTTCAGAATTGGCTTAGAGATGTACTTACGTTTGTAGCAAAACATCGATAATATTAACTCGTCAAATGCTGCGATTCCAGACACAATACCTACTCAAAAGTCTCATCTTGATCGTTCTCTCTCTCATGAGGGATTTGATTAAATTTATCTCAAAAACAGTTAAAATTCTAAAACTCTACAATCAAACCATCTACAAAACGAAGATAAACTATCAACCAGAACTAATAATCCTAATTTGATAACTAGTTAGTAATTTCTACTAGCTGCTTCACCCACTTATAGCAATTCTTTCATACAAATATTATCCTGAAAACCACCTCCAAAAAAGGATTACTTAATTGGAATAACTTGTTCAGTCATCGAATTCCAATATCTTACTGAGGTACACCTCTAGCCCGAAGGCGCAATGCGGTGGACTTGACCCCCATAGTTGACCTAGGCGCTAACATTGTTTTAGTTTTAAAATAGATTACGTATGTGACTAATGACAATGGCTGAATTGCACCACTGTTTTGTCTCGTTTCGTTTCATCTAACTTCCTAAAAACAAACTTAGGTAATAAGTAGATACTTAAGTATATTAATAGGTTGGTGGATTTTTTTCAGAATCAGCACGGATTTTAATTCAGGTTGAGCGTATGAGTCACTGCTTTCGCTTTCTTTCAGACGCAAGGACACTTTTCTCCTAAATTAAAAATCTCTTAAAACAACTTTAAGGTAATGCAGTAAAAGTTAACACGTGCTTACTAGATTTAGCGAGTCTCTTACAATAGCGTTAGTCACTTTATAATGCATATTCATAATCATAAATCATTATAACGGTAGAGTGCTCTACTTAAATGTGGAGAGTTTTACTATTGTTTCGTACGTAGGATACATACCTACATAGAACATTTTCTCTAATATTATGTTATCTTAGATAGTACTGTACACGAGCTTGGCCAGACTGCGCGAAAGACAAGCGCGCGTATGCAGTCTGGCCAAGCACTAAAATTGATTAAAAAAAAAACAATTTCAGAGTCGAAGCATCCCGGCTGAGCGTTCTGGTGGGCGTGTACGACGTGAACAACACCCATCATTCCCCCGGCTACGAGGTGTCGCACGTGACGCAGCATCCGGACTTCAACCGGTACAACTATGATAACGACATCGCCGTGCTGCGGCTGGCTGAGCCGCTGCCTGACAACCTGTTCCGGCCAGCGTGTCTACCTGGTACGTACTGATCTTCTTCTGTACTCGTACTACGTACCACAAGGGTGGCGTTGTTACCCGTTGTACTTACTGATAATAAGTATGCAGGTCAGGTTCAACCAGTAGGTATAATTACGGCTACAGTGGCTTCAGGATATGCCAGTTCATCCAAGTTGGTCTGAGTTGGTGACAGTTAGATGAGTGGTTCACACCGCCAAGCCGTGGCCCAAAAAGAATGAGAATAACAGTGCTTGGCTAGGTATCTAAGCCGCTGCCTGATACGAACGATTAAGGGGGCGTCCATAAATTACGTGAGACAATTTTGGCTATTTTTCAACCCCCCCGCCCCCCTTGGTGAGATTTGGTGAGATTTTGCCTGACCCCCTCCCCCACCCCCAAATCTCACGTGATATTAAAAAAAATCCGAAATTTAATAGTTTTGGAGTAATATAGCTGAGAAACATTTTTTTATGTGCTTTAACGTTGTCGCTAACGAGTGCATCAAAAAGATCTATAAAGTTAAAGATTTTAGTTCTTGAAAGTATCTGCTAGGGACGCTGTACAATCATCATATCGTATGTCATTTTTTACACAGTCGCTAGCGGATGACGATTGTGTAAAGTCGCACTAAGCCCACTGATTACGAATAGATCCAGGAAAACACATGTAGTGACAGCGGTTAGTACTAGGGTCACATTGTTTTTTTATAGAAGTACCTAGTCTAATTGTTCCTTCCTACAAAATCACTAATAATCTGGCAAAATCGATTTTGATAAAAAAAGAACTTGTTTTATAATTTTCTTAATTTCGTCATTTATTCTGCATTTTAGTATTCACACATGCAGACGGAAGCATTTTTAGTTTTATTTGTTTAGACTGTATAGAAGAATAAAATGACATTATCATCATACAAATATCATTTTTTAGTCCTGACAAGGAACCCTTAATATAGTTTCGAATTTTCGATATGTCTGGCTGTCTGTCTGTCCGAGGCCGAGGTTTTGCTTGGAAACTATTGGCACTAGGGAGCTGTAATTTTGTAGAGGTATGTATATTAATCACGCCGACAAAACGGTAGAATAAAATTTTGAAAAAAAAAAAAATTATGGTAGCTTCCCCTTCATGTAGTGGGGATGATTTTTTTTTCGTCTTCTACCCCATCGTGTGGGGTATCGTTGGATAGGTCTTTTAAAATGGCTTAGGGGTTTCTAAGACCATTTTTCGATTTAGGGATCCGTTTGTTAAATGTTAAAGTTTAAAGTGCCAATTTTTGTCCGAGTAGGGCGTTCCCCCCCGCTAAAAACTAAACTGTTGGCTTGATAAATCTGGAAAAATTCAAGATTATAGTGCTTTTTATGAACTTTCAAGGAAAACTATAGCGGTTAAGATAGATCAGTTAGTTCAAGAGTAATAGTCGTTTTACTCATGTATTATAAAATTTCATTTCTAATAAAAAATCCTTAGAAGAAAATATTAAAAGTGACTTTAGATGAAGTAATTGCTTACTTCTGAAATATATTGTGATAACGACGGACAACTAAGGAACCCTACACTGCGCGTGGCACGACACGCACTTGGCCAATTTTTTTACTTAAGATTTAACCCAGTTTTCTGGCAAACTCTATTTCTCTATTTCTTGTGAAAAAAAATACGTGATATTTCCCGAGACCCCCCCTCTCCCCCACGTGAGATTTGGTGAGGTTTTTGTTGACCCCCTCCCCCCCCTAAAAGCCTCACGTAATTTATGGACGCCCCCTAAGTAATGTGATACCTGCCAGCGTGTCTAGAACGTAATACGAGTACTAATACATTCTTGATAATGATATTATTACAGACCGCTATCAGTCGGTCATTATGGAAATCATAAGGAGAGGCCTATGTTCAGCAGTGGACGTCTTATGGCTGAAATGATGATGATGATGAGTGACATAAGCTGAACTATCTGACATGCTGTCCCGTTCCGATCGGCCTGACAGTAGGCAGACTGTTACAAAGTAGTGCTCTATAAATGAGTTGATAGCAGTTTTCTACTTTTTTAAGTTCGTATTTTTACAGATGATGAGGAGGTGCTCGCAGGAGCAGACGCCATTGTGTCCGGTTGGGGAAGCACTGTCGAAAAAGGACCAGCGTCCAACATACCCATGAAAGTAAGCTAATAAACCTGACTAAATAAAAATATGTTACATTTAGGTAAGTACAAATGCTTATAATATGTTTTTACCATAATATATTTTGTACTACCATGTATTTCAAATCAATTATCATAACATCGCATTATAAGAAAAAACTGCCCAATTAAAAAACAGCAATGGCTTTTGCAACATAACTGTCGGTCATTTTTATCTCTACATTGTGAAAACATCGGTGACAAAAACATCTGATGATAATTCCAGGCAGATGTGCAAATCTGGACCCAGGAGGACTGCGCAGGCGCTGGGTATGGTCGAGGCAAAGTGACTCCGCGAATGCTATGTGCCAATGCCCCAGAACGCGACGCGTGCACTGGTGACTCAGGCGGTCCACTTCTTGTTTCGCAGCCGTATTACACTATTGTTGGTAAGACCTATAATATAATATCTGAGCGATAATAACTCTATGGTGTCAGTGTCGAACTGGCTGAATCGAGATCCAAGCAACGCGGGTTCGGACCCCGCCACCATTGACAATAACTCGTGACTCCTTTGCATTAGGCTCCGGAGGCCACCGTCGGGTTTTGGTGCGATCTCGCCCTTCTGGCAGAGAGAGTCCCACATCACTCTGGCCATCCCCATTGGCCAAAGCAAAGCATTTCCCGACGGAAAATAAATAAACTATTTACTGTATGTAGTGATCCTACTCGTAACAAAAGCAAAGTTATGTAGCTTAGTAGCTTATTGCCTTACCATAAAATCAAACAATAATATTTATCGCAAAAAATTTAAGAGTTTTCATCATCATCATTTCAGCCATAGGACGCCCACTGCTGAACATTGGCCTCCCCCAATGCTTTCCATGTTGATCGATTGGTAGCGGCCTGCGTCTAAAGAGTTTTCGTTTTAGCCAAATGACGTCCACTGCTGGACAAAGGCCTCCCCCAAGGTTTTCCACAATGAACGGTCCTGCGCTGCCCGCATCCAGGCTCTTCCCGCGATCTTCACCAGATCGTCGGTCCACCTAGTAGAAGGCCTGCCCACGCTACGTCTTCCAGTCCGTGGTCGCTCGAGAACTAAAGAGTTTTACTTCCTTTAAATATGTAAACTGCACTGTTTGTTTCAGGGATCGTCTCATGGGGGCGAGGATGTGCTAGACAAGGTTACCCAGGAGTGTATGCTCGGGTAGACCGTTTCCTGCCCTGGCTGCGTGTTGCTCTACGCCATGCTTGCACTTGTACATCCCCTTTCTAATACATAATACTGAGTCACAGAAAATTATTTTAGGTGTTAAATACATTGTTTATTGGAGGATACCTAAATTCTGTCTAATGGCATCAAAATGTTAAAATTAATATGAAATATTGGGCACTGTATGCATACAAAGCTCTAATAAGGCATGTTATAAAGTATCATGCTAAACTAAAACGGCTCTAGCTACTTCGATTGCTAATTAATTACCGTCGCTACAGGCCCTTGACTTCTGAAGTCCACATTAACAATGAATGGGAACTACTTTGGATTGTGTCTGATAATGACTGACAAGTTTGTGACCAGCCATGGGACAATTTAATCTTGCCAACGAAGTAGCCAAACAATTTAACTCAGGAATATTGCTAATCCAAACGCAAAGAGTTGTTAAGCCAAAGAGAGAATAAAAATAGCCATGCCGTTAAGTAGGTACACAAACACATTAATAAAATTAAATTGTATTTAGGTTTATAAATAGTACACATTTCAGTATTAAAATTAATACGTATAAAATAATAATAATGTAGATATGTAGGTGTAGGATACTTCATAAAATTAGTGAAAATAATTAGGTAATTTTAATAATGTTATTCCTACAAAAGTTACTATTAGCAACTATGGCTGTGAACTAAAATTAGTCTGATAAGTACAATAAATCATGTAATAAACCCTTTACAAACTACATAAGTTACCTGTGTATTTTGTTTAATATAGGATGAGGAAAGTTATGATATTTTTTTAGAGTTTTACTTTACCAGTGGATATTGTCGCCTATCTTTTAGCATAAAGTTAAAAATCTACTAATAACTCCTAGCTACTTAAGTTATTTAGATGTGTATATGTTTAAAATATTATGTGATGCATATCTAATTAGGCTATAATGTATTGTATTTGTTATATTAATGAAATAAATGTATGATAACCGACAGTTTCATTTTCATTATTAACACGTCTTGTGAAGGACAAAGTAAAGGCTGAAAGCTTCTAGTAAAGTAAAAAGTGTATCCCAAAAATGATCCCCTGATAATCCTGATATCACCCTGATACGGTAAAAGTTTATGTAAAGAAAAATCATTTCTCATGTTGGGAGTAGGCATTGTGTTTTATTCAAAGCGAGGGTCGCGTTCGATAAAATTATGACAGACCGAAAATAATTTGCTCACAATACCGAAGTGCAAAAGGCGAACTTAATGCTTATATGACTTCTCTTCCAGTCAACCTTGAAGTTACGCGGGCAAAGCCGTGGGCAAGAGATTCGGCTGGATGAACGATTCCAATGCCGTGAAACTTTAAAAAATCTATTTTAGGCGCGAAAATTTGACGTTTGACGTTTAGGACGCCGTTTTGTCTATAATCAGCTGTTATGCACAGAGCATCCTGTTATGTGCAAAGTTGCAAAATTAAGCTTTATTTTATCAATTTTAATCTAAATTAACTTATGGTTCGAGTGAATTACAGTGAAATTGTGTTTATGTGTAGATCAAAGCAGTAAATTTATACCAAAACAATGAATATATCTGACAATGAGGCTGTAAGTAAACACTGACTGATTGCATTATTATTCAAACATATAACTTAGTTACTTATTACGTTTTCAACTCTTTTGAATTAGCATTTTAAATCCGCCAGGCATAGAATATCATTCCTTTCATTAAGGCATTAGTATCGTAACAATATTTTAACATAACCTAACCTCGCACAGGATGATACGTCTAGCGTAGATAGCACATCGAATACGGACAATACTTCTCGTAGTGAGACACCGACAAACTCTAGAGCAAAAAAACGAAGACGTGGGAAAAAGAAAACTACCACCAAGCAAGTTAAACCTCCGTACAAATTCAAGTAAGTTCTTTGTCCTTACACTAACAATGCTAAAAACCTACACCTCTGAAACTAGATTATTAATAAACATTTTCTCTATATTATCTATCCCAGAATATTTTGTTGGCAATAATTCGTGTATAGTATAAATAAAAAACAAAAGGCTTGGAAAACCTCACTAATTGCTATATTAATTAAAGTTAACAGGATTGTTAAAGGCCTAAGGGGACATAAATTAACAAACAAATAATTCTAAAATCAGTTAAATGCTATAAGTAAATCGTTGTTTATACCATATTTTCCAGCTGTAGTGCTAAAGAGGACCATGGCCAGCCCCTGTTTGGTTGCCAGTTTAACCACCACCTTGGTGAAGGGGAGCCACTAGTGTTTGCTGTAGTGGGCAGTAACCGGGTCTCCATTTATGAGTGTCCGGACACAGGTGGATTCAAGTTCCTGCAGTGCTATGCTGATCCAGATGTAAGCAATTAAATAAAATCTCATTTAATATCATCAATTCAATCATCATAACTTAGCCACCAGCAGGAAAAGCTGATCAATTCAATATTTCCAGGTTGACGAAACATTTTACACATGTGCATGGTCATATGAAGAGGAAACACACCTTCCCCTCTTAGCAGTTGCTGGATCGCGTGGCATAGTGCGAATTTTCCACCCAGCCACACAGACTTGCATCAAGCACTATGTTGGCCATGGACACGCCATCAACGAGGTCAAATTCCACCCCAGAGACCCCAACCTTCTCCTATCTGCCAGCAAAGACCACGCTCTACGACTCTGGAACATTATGACTGATGTCTGCATTGCAATATTCGGTGGAGTTGAAGGCCATAGAGATGAAGTTCTAAGTGCAGACTTCGATCTCAAGGGAGAAAGGATCATGTCTTGCGGCATGGATCACTCGCTGAAGCTATGGCGGCTAGATAAACCCTCTATGAATGAAGCTATTAAACAAAGCTATAATTTCAACCCTCACAGAGCACTTAGACCGTTCAATTCATTGAAGGAGCACTTTCCTGATTTCTCAACCAGAGATATTCACAGGAATTATGTGGACTGTGTAAGGTGGATGGGTGATCTCATTTTATCTAAGGTAATAATAATATAATAAAGCATTTGTATTGGAACTTTTGTTTGTAGTTAGAATGATAATAAATATAATTTTTGTTTTATTTTGCAGTCTTGCGAGAATGCGATAATCTGTTGGAAACCAGGGCGGTTGGAGGACACAGAATTGCGGCCCGGAGACAATTCTGTGACCATTGTGCACCGCTTTGACTACAAAGAGTGCGAGATCTGGTTCATTCGATTCGCGGTCGATTATAGTCAAAGGGTAAGAATACTTTCTGATATTCAGATTGCAAGTTATTGAGATGGCTATCTACATATAATACAAACAATTTAAACGGACCTATAAAGTATCTAAGTAACCCAATAACATAAGCGACTGCTGTCACCAAGGAACTAAAGCAGTTTCTTATGACATATTGGACAGAACGTGAACATTCTTTATTTAACTCCCCAGTCCCCAAGTGTGGCAAGGAAGTTTTTGAATAAAATTCCGCCTCAAGTGGCTCACGCGTCGTTAGACACTGCTCTAATTTCCGAACGAAGCAAAAAGAAGTGTTGTATTGTAATTTGTAATTTAACCGGTAAGTATGTTTTGTCCAGGTGATAGCGCTGGGCAACCAGTGCGGCAAGACGATGGTGTGGGAGCTGGGCAGCGTGGCGGGCGGCTCGCGCGTGTCGCAGCTCGTACACCCGCGCTGCTCCGCCGCCGTCAGGCAGGTAAGCACGTCTAGTTTTAGGACAATAATGCCCGTTTACACCATCAATCCCTAATTTTTAAGCGACCCCTATGAAAACAAAATTCCTGATAAGAATAGAAGAATAGAATAGAATAACGTTTATTTTGCTGCCACATGAATACACATACATACATAAAACAAACGGTCAACATTACAGAACCAGTCAAAAGAATGATAATTAAAATTAAAATTAATCGGGACAGTTACTTGGCGGCGCTGCAGCAGCAAAAAGGTCCCCGTCTCAGCATGTGTCAAGTGCATACCACATGACGCTGATTTTCAGACGGCGGCCGTGGTCTGAGTTGCTCGGTGTATCAGGATATGAGTTTTATAAATGTCAAATTAAGTGTTACCTTACCATAGGGGTCACTTAAAACTTAGGACTTGGTGGTGAAAATAAAACTCGCGGCTTCGTTTCATTGAACCCCGCCCCGAGGGACACTGTCAGGTTTTAGTGGGTGCAAAGCATTTCCCGACAGAAAAAAAAAAGTCTTTCTATAGACGCTTAATGTGGCCGCCGTTATTGAGATTGAGGACAATCTCAATGGCGGATTTGCTGCCCCTAACCCGACCCGAGGAGGATCCACCATTTCCCTCGAAACCGGAGGGGGTCGCTCAAGAGCGAGCCATAGCCTGAGACGGAGTCGCAGACGAATGTCCATTTCTAGGATAATAACTCGCGGCTCCGTGTCATTTGCCCCGGAGGACTACGTCGGGTTTAGTGCGTAGACCCCGCCCTTCTGGGCGGGAGAGTCCCACATAATCCACTGACCGCCCCCATCGGCCAGTGGGTAAAGCATTTCCCGGCGAAAAAAAAAGGGCATGACACCTGTCTGCTGCCCTAGGCCCTACAAGTTAACCGAAACAGCTCGCGCCTTAGTGGTTGGTATCAAAGGGTGCAACAAGCATACTCGTAATATACATTTTTTCCATGAATGACCCATTGACAAGTTTGAAAGTACCATAGACAAAATTTTGTTCCAGGTGACTCTGTCCCGGAACGGCAAGGTGCTGCTGACGTGTTGCGACGACGGCACCATCTGGCGCTGGGACCGCGTGTCCGGGGCCAACTAGCGGCTAGCGTGGTTCGCTCTTTACCCTACTTCTCTTACATTTATTATCAACGAGCTTGAATATTTTTTCTCAATAATTTATAGAAAGCAGAACAATGGTCATTAACCTAATAGATGAAATCTAGAGGTTTGAGTATAAAATAGTGTCTTAACTAAATCCAATTAAAAACTTTGTCGAATTTAACTGTCGGTTACCACTAGAGATGAAACGGATATCCGGCAACTATCCGGTAGGCCGGATATCCGGCCTAATTTTACTATCCGGCCGGATACCGGATAATAACTCACTATCCGGCCGGATACCGGATAATAACTCACTATCCGGCCGGATACCGGATATTAAAAAACTACGTCAATTTCCTATAATTAAATGAAATACATTAATCTTTGAGGTAAATATCAATAAAATGGCTTCTATGACGGCTTTTATTTTAAGTCGAAAAAGTTGCAAAAAAGCCATATTAAGGCCTATCAAAAAAATTATTTGTTTTTCTGGGCTATTCATTTTAATAACGAATACGTAAATAGTGAATAATTACTGTTAATGTCGAAATATTGCCAAATAAAATAGGTGATCTTTTATTCACTGATGGTCTGATGACAAAATGCAGTTCAGTCAGATTATGCAGCAAGTACCTTCTTCTTCTTCTTTTCAGCCAAATGACGTCCACTGCTGGACAAAGGCCTCCCCCAAGGTTTTCCACAATTGCAAGTACCTAAGCTAATTTAATTTTAATTATTCAATCACACACTCACGATGGCAACCGAAATCGGCCGAATTGATCTGCCCCCTAGACAAGTGGCAAATCTGACATTCTATTCGGACGGATTCGATTTTGGAAAAGTGTGACTCGTCTAGTCTACTATAGATGACCCACACTGAACTGTCCCACCAAACTCAATGACAGAGGGGCGCTACCATCGTTCAACTAAATGGTTTCCAACATAGCAAAAATCGAAACCAGCGATCCGGTATTGACGGTGGCGCCCCACTGTCAATGTCATGGATAGGACAGTTCAGTATTTTGGAACTATACGAGGGCGGCACTGAAAATTTCGGGAATCAAGGAAGTGAAACAACATTACTATTTAAAAATGTATTTATTGCTTTTTAAAGTATTCTCCGCGAAATTTGACACATTTTTCCATACACGAAACCAATCATTGAAGCAACCATTGCATTCGGAAGTTTGGGTCTCCAAAATGGCCGTTTTGTAGGCTTCCACAGCTTCTTCAGGTGATGAAAATCTCTGACCACGCAATTTATTCTTTATTTTAGGGAAAGTATAGAAATCATTAGGGCTTAGGTCGGGGCTGTACGGCGGATGGACTTATAATTCTATGTTTTCTTGCTCTAAAAACTCTTTTGTTCAGTGCGCGGTGTGAGAACTCGCATTGTCGTGATGGAGGATGATGCGGCGGTTGCAGTTTTCTTTACGGAGTTCAGAAACGACCTGTGGCAAACAAATGCTAGCATACTAATCTGCATTAACCGTTCTTTGTCCCCCAAGAGGAATAGTCGCAACATGGCCGGTTTTGGAGACAAACGTGGCCACCATTTTTTTTGCAACACTCCGTGAACGAACAATTTTTGTTGGCTTTAATTCATTTTCGAACACCCAAACTCGTGACTGGTTTTTTGTTTCGGGTTCGTACGCGTATATCCATGATTCGTCACCTGATACGATGTTGTATACAGCATTTGAGGATCCTGCATGTAATCTGCCGAGAGTTCTGACGCACCAAGTAACGCGAGCCGCTTTTTGCTCTTCACAGAGCGAATGCGGTATCCATCGGGAAAACAACTTTTTTACACTTAATTGTTCATGCAAGATTATTTGTATTTGACTCATGCCAATGTCTAAAGTTGCCTGAATTTCGCGGTATATCACATGTCGATCTTCTTCAATCAGCTTACGCACAGCATCAACGTTTTCTTAGGTGACTGCAGTTTTTGGACGACCTTGACGGGGATCATCACTGAGCTTGACACGTCCACATTGAAATTCAGGAAACCAGCGATAAATTGTGGTTTTGGATAGGGCTTCATTACCAAATGCAGAAATCATCCGGTCAACTCACTGTTTTTGTGTTAAACCACTTCAAAAGTCATAATAAATCATCGCTCTTGAATTTTCTCGAGTCAATTCCATTTTCTCAACGACTAAACAAGTTTGACAAGACCTTGTGATACGACCGAGATTCTTTTTTTAAATAAATAAATGGTATCTGATTTTTAAAACCCTGGAGTTTGCAATTAAATAGATTTTAATATGACTGGAACAGTGGAAATATTCCATTCCCGATACTTTTAGTGCAGCCCTCGTATACTCTGATTTTTAATTCGACGGAATTTTTACATTTCAGAAGTGTTGTCAACATTGAAACATTCCCACTAAGAATGGAGAGCATTTACACAAATTAAAAAATAATCCTTTCTTGAATTTAAGGTTTCACTTGAAAAACTAAGGCTTAAAAATGATCTGATCCTTTCAAAATGGTCATTTGAATTTTTATTACCATATTTTTGAAGTTACAAAAAAAAATTGGGTTTTTATTTTTCTATTACTGGACTCCCTGGCCAATAATCCATGGATTACAAACCTTTTTTATGAAAATCCTTTTGTTAATAAAATGTGGCTTCATAAAATAATCAATTTAACAAGATGCCAATTTTATAATCCAAGTTGATTAATATGACGATAATGATAATTGATGATTAATACATATTTTCGTTTATGTTAATATGTCGTTTTTCTGTGTTAAAAACACTTTTTTGTCTATTTAGTCTCTAAAATGTACATAATAATTAGTGAACATTGAATTCACAAAACAAACAATAGTTCATTCTTAAAAGTTGCACTTGATGAAATTTCATTTCATATTATTTGTTATTAATTCAAAGCAAAAAAGGCTTATTACATCTGAATTGTCAAAAAATGACAGCTGTCATAATTCCATCGAATGAGGGCTTTCGTTTTTATACTTAACAGTTGGCACCCCTGGCGATTGACAGGACCTTACTCTACAGTGGCGCCATCTTGATGAGTGCAAATGCGATAGTCCTCCTACCACTTTAGCGCTCACCAGTTGGCGCCACTGTCTTCGCTACTAGCAAGTGACAGGACCTTACTCTACAGTGGCGCCAACTGGTGAGCGCTAAAACGATAGCCCTCATTAAAAATCGGACTTTAGACCCACTGATCACGTTCGATGCACCTATGCGGCGCTAAACTCATTACGACCATGCAACGAGACAATGGGCCAACTATCCGGCCGCCGGATATCCGGCTATCTGGCCTAGCAGCTCGCCGGATATCCGGTATCCGGCCAAACAACTATCCGTTTCATCTCTAGTTACCACCATAAAATATACTTCTGAATCTTGTGGTTTACATACACATAGTGTAATGGTTTCAAATGTATCTAATCGACAAAAACCTTAATATCTGTTTAACACCTATTTGGAGAAAACTTTTATGTTAGCAGGTGAATGTCTATTTTGTACCAATATCCGTTTAAATGTGAAACGGAAAAGGCTGAATATGCTTAGTTCATAATGGACTTAATTAGAATAATTTTATTTGTATAATTGACACTCTTTTTACACAAAATATAAGACTGGATTAGTCCAAATATTACTTGTAGTTTGAATTATTTCGACTGAATTACTGCATACAGTACATACAGAAACGGAACTTACAGTACTACATATCTAAATTTAAATTGACTGGGGGTTTAAGTCAATATAGCACAAATAAAAAACCTTATTCTATTACAAATTTTATTATGACCAACAATACATCTACGTTTTAACAAAATGAATCACAGGGGCCAAGGTGTTATCTCGTGTTCACTACACACAATGCTGCTTCTAATCTCGTGACGAGTCCGAGCTCTAACATCTAACACCGATACATACGACCCTATATGTTCACTACGCACGAAGTAAATATTGATAATAACTAATACTAACATCCATGACAGCGTAATTGAATTTTAATCAAATTCCATTTATCAATTTCAGTCTTTAAAATTTTATAATTTAAAAACGAGCAATAAAGACCGGCGTATTAATAACCAATGTACAATTAACATCAAAATTTGAGATTGCTTTTAAAGTACAAAATTCAGTTTATTATTATCATGATTTTTATTCTGTCCCTTTTAATAATAACTAAGATAGACCAGATAAACCAGTTCTTATTTAGTTAATTACTTTTACTTAAATCGGTGAGATATAATCTGAAACAGTACCTAAAAATATCAGTAAGTATCTCAGTCAGACAAGGGAAGAATAACACACCTCATTTCATTCACCAGCACGCAAGTATATCCAGCACAAAATCGAAACAATACCGTTTATTTTAACAAGAGAGTAACATATGAATAATTCCATAAATACTGATATTTTGTTGTACTGCGCTTAGTAACACTAGGAAAATATAATATTTAGCTTGAAAAGCGTTTAACTTATACTTTAAAATCGATTACATTTCATAGTCTAATAATATGACGTAAAACTATATTATAAAAATAATTCTATAGTTTAACAATCATACAAAAGTCACAACTGAAATGTTGAGCTAATTTTTGAAATTAAACCAATCGTGTTCGGAAATGTTACGTTTAGAAACTGTGTCATTCGCACATATTTTATGACGGAAATATGTTTTTCAATAGCTCCTATTGTTTTAATGTATTATAATTTTCCAAAGCGCTACGCGACTGCGCATAATACACAGCCTTTAAAGTGCTTATTCACTTAGAGCTTTCACGGTTAATGTAGCAAGGCAGTGTAACAATCAATTTGAACTTTATGACAAAACATAATTGCTTCATTATTGGCTTAAGCTCATAACACCATAAATGCTCTCTGTAAATGAGCGCTTTTGGAATATAAAAAGAAAGAAAGAAAGAAAATATTTTATTTGGCCCAACATATTAAATTATTACAGTATACAGTTTACAATACTTGCACATTTGTGGACCAAAATGGCATCCGCTCAGCATTGTGTCCTGCTCTGAGGTAGACCCCAGAACAGGACGCTGTTATTCTGCGGAGGCAACGTTTCGCTTCATGTGTTTCAATAAGAAAATGTGCGAATGTTTTCACAGAATAAATGGAATGTGTGATGAAAAAACACTAACATATTATCACAACAATCAACAATTAATTAAAGTTCAATAACTTCGTAAAGGCACGTAACTAGAAACAAACCATTAAAACAATGGTTAACACGGGTATTCGTTTATTCTTCGTTAACAAGAGAATCACTCCGTTCAATCATGAGATCAATTTCAGTATCAATAAATTCATTCAACAATATCATTTTTATATTAATCATTTAACATATTAATTAAATAGTATTATTGTTATACTCTGCAAGCTACGGATTTATTACAAATTGACCTTTATTCAAAAGAAAGAAATAACACACAAAATACATTTATCTAGAAGGGTCATAATTTTCTAGTTTTGTTTATTTATTAGCGTATTGAAAATATAGCCTCTAGTTGTAATAGCTGAAGTGTTAGACGTTATAACCGATTACCTATATTTTCGCGGTTATAGGTAGCCGGTGTATCACAACTTCCAAATGTGACATTGCAATTGTTGAAACTTAGGCCCATATTCTGAAACGTCGTTTTAAAATGCATTCAAGTATACGATTGGTCCGAAACTCCGAATTTATAGCAATTAAACCAATCACCAGCTTGCACCTAGTTAGCGACGTTTCACAACAAAAGCCTTAAAGCTAATATTTGATAAAATATCCGAATACGGACAGTGAATAAGGCTGCAGTCAGTTTATTCTTACGTAGCAGATAAAGTATACAAACATGACATTCAGTTTTTGATAGATATTGATTTTACCCGTTCTCTTTCATCGTCATTTCTTGCTAATAGTTCACGATAAAAATAGTTAATTTAATGTTTGTTTGTACCATTATTCACCATGTAAGGAAAAACAAACTTTTATACCACACAATGTAAATAATAATAGAACATGTTAACAATACAAGTGCCTGTTTAAATATCTACTAAGTACATAGTTTTGGGGCGGTATATTATACTTACATACTAAGGAAATCTACAGAAATATCTGAGCATAGATTTATTCAGGTAAATGACAGTGACTTTAAATTCAACATAACGCAATATGAGATCCTGTAATGCGAAATAAAATATATAAATAGTATACACTATTGTGTACTTACTATACCTACTACTTATTACCCTGACTATAGCATTTGACTAGATCAAAGTTGCAAATATACTTAAATACAATCGGAAGCCGTCCCTTGGAACTATTAAAAGTAAGAAATAAATTCAAATCCTCAATCCAGTTAGTGGGAAATTAAATATTGTATTTACAACGACATAGACCGAGTGAATTTCAAGTTTAATTAGTTATTTCCTTTCCAAACTTCAAACCTTATATTTCGTATGTAAATAATAATCACACAAATAGGCACGTAGATGGAATAGAATACAAAGTAAAAATCTTACTTTTAATAAGTTCCAAAACCTATACTAATCTTCTACAGTAGGAATCACAACATCAAGATTAAGTAATTATTATGAACCTAAGAAATTATGAAATAGTCATAAGTGCGAGGTGATAGATTATTTTATTAAATAATAACAAGGTCCGATGTGTAAGACTACGTGAAATTATGTCGGCAGTCATATCTTTTATTCATATGACGACTGTATTGTAATATATCATTGTTTTTATGATAATTATCACACAAATATTCCGCTAATAGTACGATGAGGGATTATTCTTGACTATTTAATAGAGATGATGTAATTAATCACCTTAGTAATCGATCAATTTCATAATATAAAAGTTGGCAATTTTTCATAATGTGGACAGGTAATTGAGGTACGTATTTCTATAGTTCAGTCTATATGCAGAGTGAGTAAGAGAGTAGACTATTTTATTGTGAGGAATTCGTTCATAATATGTCAATCAATACAGTCAATACAATACAATCAATGTTACGAACACCCTTCTCCGCAAAACGATTAACAAATATCAGCTCTTCCTGTCTCACATACCTACTCTTTTTCCTTGTTGGTATCATATTCAAAAACAAATTCCAGCAAAAACAAATTCCTCACAATATAACGGCGATTTTACAGTGAAATGTAAGAAGGATTAAGAAGAGTAAATGTTCTACGATAGAGTGATTTAAAGTAGTGGAAAGAGTTAATTTTGAAAAAATAATGTCAGGTAATGGTCACAGGACGAAAAAATACTGAGTATTTAAAAATATCGCCTGTGTTGGGCCAATGGGCATTGTTGAAAACAATGTAAATAAGTATATTCGTATGTTAAAAGTTTAAGGCGATACCAAAGCAAAGCTTAAAAATAATTACGTACCTAATCCAATTAAATTCATCGTCTAATTTGTGAGAACAGAATATTCCCATGAACAGCTGCTAATAAATTTATAATAACAATAACCCTCACTAAGGCTTTTATATGTATTTGAAACGAAACCGCATCCGCAACAAATTGCATCGTCCTGTGTTAATCGATCTTTTGGTTCGTAAGAAAACTTCGATGTTCGCCGTACTTTATACAATTGCGCAGATCTAACGCGAAATTCGTTCAGCTGAACTTTATACAGCACACTTTTTGTTTAGCCAGGCCTAAGCCGTTCCGCATACACTCATGATGCCGCAGTTACTATTTGGTCGCATGTTCACGTATATCACGACATTTTTATTTGGATGGACCACTGTTGCCGATGGAATCGTCCAACGTCACCCGAGCGAGAAGTTTTTTAGATCACAGGGAAGCTACCAAGCATTAAGCCAATGGATTCATGACATCTACATCTAGCAACTAGCATATCTAATGATTGTTTGGAAGCTTTGTTTCTCTATAGAAAGTAGAGTTCATGACGTTATATTTTCAATACTTAGGTGGACATTGTTTTTGTAGTTTTGAAATTAATTAGGATGTCATGTACCCATTGGGTTCAGCATGTGCAAGTAAAGGTGTGTTTACGTTGAGATTCAAGATTAGAGCCAAACCGTCAAGAGTAATCTTGACAGTCCTGTTAACCTTTACTTGCATCTCAACTTACACGCACCCTAAGCTCGACCAGACACATTCGGAATTCTGAACGCAGTACATCCATAAAAAATCAAGACATGGCATAATAATCGTTTTTCATAAAATAATTTCGTTTGTCCAAATTTTCCGACTTCTAACGGACTTTTGTATGTTTATGCTAAAACCATGATTTTGTATGAATTAGGTAGTTGACACCAATAAATCTAAGACACAGCTTCTCAAAAACAGGATTCGAAAATATCCGATATTTATTATAAATATCAAAATATCGGATATTTATGATATATATCCGATATATATCAACTTTGATATATATCAATTTTGTATGAAAGCCATATTATTATTTTATTGTATTATTCATGAATACTATTGCATATGTGCTACATAAACATGTTTTTAATGTTTTTAAACCTTAAAATCAGACAAATATAGCAAAAACATAAAATATTCTTTTAAATACGGCAAAATCAACTAAAAAAATAAAAATCTTATGTCAAAAAGTACAAATACAGTAACAAATTTTAAAAGTTGATATATATCATCAAAACCGGCTTGATATATATCGGATATATATCCGATATATATCCTCGAACCCTGCTCAAAAACCCCTCAATGTAGCCCTGAAAACAGAGTTAGTTTTCAATTAGCTGTAAAATTCGATGTTTGATTGCTCAATTGAATTTGCGACTTGATGACGTTATAATACAGTTACAATATCATTTTGACAGCTCACAAAAATCATGCCAATAGTCCAGGGTGTGTCTACCCTTTTGCGTCATTCCGAATGGTCCAGCCTACAAGACGAAGCTAGAAGGACTGCATACGGCGCTGGGTGCGGCCGGGCCGGGCCTAGCTGGGCGCGGGCTCGGGCGGTCACCGCACGCGGCCGGACGGCGAGCGCAGGTGCGAGCGGATGTAGCCGGTGCGGTAGTCCATGGCGTCGCCGCGCCGGCCGGACCCGTTGTGGCCGCGCTGGCGGCGGCGGCTCCATCTGGAGAGATTAACTAGTTAACCCTTAAGTAACACCGTGGGGTAATTTTTTACCCCAGGCGCATAAAAATTGACATATCTTTTTTTCTAGCGTAGTTAGTGCAATGTCGTTTTGTGTATTCTCAATCCAGAGTGTGCGCTTTAAGCTCGTAGATGCGGGATGTGAAAAAATCATCCGTTTGGCTTGTACAGGTAGGTGGGGCAGAAATTTACCCCAGGGTGTTAGTTACGCATACTTTAATTTATCATCACCTAATATGTTATTAATTGGTTTTTACAACATTGAAATAAAATGAGTAAATATTTATATTATGACGATTAAGTAGCACATTGTCTCTAGAATGCAGAGAGATAATTAGAGCTTGATTTACATGATACTTTTCGAACTTTGAAGACATCCCCTCAGAACAGAGCGTTCATAAATTCGACACAGAAATAGGGCTCAAATGTGATAATTACGTAGTAATTCAACGTATCTGATGTGTTTTAAAAAAAATAATTAGGAATAAAGTAAATAAAAAATATTAAAAAAAAAATCATAATTTTATAACAAAATAAGTTTTTTTATTTTGCTTTATTATAAAGCCAGAAATTTTCGTTTTATTTCATTTTGTGTTTAAAATATGCATAAAACTTCTATTTAATGTCCGATTAGTGTAAGTTTTTGGTTCCCACAATAACTTTCCAAGATTTTTCTAGAAGACCATTGTGGAGACTATTAGTTGCCAATGACAAATTATTTGTTTTTTGTTATGATTGATTTAAGGTGTTTCTTTACGCTAGATATACGTTCTTTTAAAGCAATCGTATAATTCAGTGAGCCCATTAATACATTGTAAATCACAAAATTAAATTGATATCAAATATTTACTTAATTTTTTTTAATTTCCGTTTGGGGTAATTTTTTGCCCCAGGGTGTTCAAAGTGTAACCAAAAATAAGGATGTTACTTAAGGGTTAATACTTCATCCCGTTGAAGTCCATTGTTATTTGTCGGCCGTTTGGTGTAGTGGTTCAGAACGGACTACTATGCCGAGAGGTCCCGGGTTCGATTCCCGGCCGGGCAGAAATTGAAATGATGAATTTTAATTTCTGTGACGGGTCTGGGTGTGATTATGTATAATATTAAAATTCATGTATTTAAAAAAAAAGTATATAAGGAGTATATCCGTTAAGCTAGCACCCATAACACAAGCATTAAGTTGCTTACTTTGGGGCTAGCTGGCGCTGTGTGAAATTGTCCAAAAGATTTATTTATTCAATATCGGCGGAAGACCTCGGATAAAAAACGCTGATCGTTTCCGCTAGAAAACCGTATTCACAGAAGCCAAGTGGAGAGATGACGTGTAAAAAGAGCTGTGGTTTTCTGAATCAACAAAAATAAAATAAAACCTATCGTTTTTACACGTCATCTCTACTTAGCGGATGCACATTCTTTCCGCTTATATTACTGTCACACTCAGATACAAATAGAAGTAAGTAAGTATCCCATCCCACCAGCCACATCACCATAGCTTTGAAACTTTGATTAGAAGTCGAATGTTCCGCATCAAGTTGCAGGAGAGAGCTGATACTAACTTGAAACATTTCAAATTTTTTCTATCAAATGATATGTACAATATTTGTTAAAAAAAACTTACTTCAACAGCCTCATGATGTAGTCGGGCCAGTTATCAGGGAACATGACCAAGAAAAAGCCGACCGTTATTAATATTATCCCGGCCAGCTTCATACCCTCGAATTGGACTCCATAAAGCACCACGTCCAATGCTACAAAAAGATATGATAATTAATTAGATATCTGCATTTTGGAAATCATTAATTTGTTTTGGTAAGTTGGTCTTACCTGCCGAAACCGGAACTGCGGTTATAAGGCCGAGTGACACGAAGATGTTGTAAGTCATGATGTTCCCGAATTGGAACACCAAGTGGAACACTGGAACAAAATACATGTACTCAATATAAAGATCAGTTTGAAGAAAACTAATATCGTAACTTGACAGTATCATACCAAAATTTGCATGAAGCATGCTTTTATTTTCTAATATGACATGAAACTGTCTGCTAAAATCTTTCTCGAACACTTACCTCTGCACTAGACTGCATCTCACTTAACATCAGGTGATGCCTTGCCTAAAAAACGTCTCTATCTCCATACAAATAAGGTTCATTCTCACCCAGCAGAGCCACCCCGGCCACCAGAAGATGTATCCAGGGCATCCGCTGCGACGGCAGCATCTCCGAGCCCGTTAAATACAGAGCCAGGCACACTGGCCACAGAAGGGACGCGTTGACGACGCCCAGGATCGAGAAGAAAAGCGCACGCTGTCCCGCGTTCACTTCGCCCATCACTTTTCTGAACAGCACCTACAGAAAAGTACGACTTATGACTTGGTTTTCTAATCTGAAAATACATACATACAGGGTGTTAGGTAAATGGGTATATGAGCCGACACTAGCCCATATTAACATGGTCATATAAATGGTATGGTGAAGTCAAAAATTTGATATCATTTTATTTTTTTAATTTTCATACAAAATTAATTTGATAAAATCCGATTTGTATGTAAATAATTAAAATGAAGATATCAATTTTCTGACTTCACCATACCATTTATATGACCATGTTAACATGGGCTAGTGTCGGCTCATATACCCATTTACCCAACACCCTGTATATGAAAATTATAGTTCTTGAAAATTGCCGCTAGGGGCGCTGTACAATTTGTCATACCGTCATTTTTTACGCGCTCACTAGTGACGCTGATTGATGTAAACTCACACTAAGCCCTCTGTTAGTTAAGCTTCGGCTAAACCAACGCGTGCACTCGCGGCGATGGCAATCATTGCGGGTGCATAGATCGCCGCGACCAATGACTGGACGCGTTGATATGAACTCATTTCTACAAATTCATTCACGACATCTGATCGCCATCACACCGGCCGCGTTGATATGAACTCATTGCTACAAATTCATACACGATATCATCACGCACGTAGGCTGCACGCGTTGATTTGGCTGAACCTTTAAAGAGTTAGGGTATTTAGGTCACTACCGCTCCTAATCAACTACGCTTTACTACGAGTGACAAGGTGGCATGGCGTGTCGAGTGGTCGACTGTTCCGAGCGAGCGCAGTGTGATTCTTCAATGATTTGATTGCCTGCCAGAGCCTTTCACGTCCGTTGCGTGACGTCACGCCAAACCCATATTTTATTATTGTCTGAGGTGCCGGTGAAACTTAATGTACATCGATTTGAAAAGTTTACGGCGCAGTTACACTATGCGCGAACTTGATCGTATGATATAGTGTAAACAGCGTCGCTAATACTTCCGTGCGCGTGTTCGATCAAATTCACGCATAGTGTAACTGCGCCATTAGAAATCTCATTTATCATGGTGAGACTTTTAAAGGCTCGGCTAAACCAACGCGTGCAGCCGGCGTGCACGATGGCTATGGCGATCAAATTTAAACGCATTGATCGCCATCGCCCAAGCAGGCTGATCGCTTTGGTTTGGTCGAGCCTTTCTCGTAGTAGTCTCACCATGATAATGAGATTTCTAATGGCGCAGTTACATTATGCGTGAATTTATTAGACTACTTCGAAGTCTTGATCACCAAGTATGATACCTTGAATATAGCGAAGCCGGCGGCAGCGCAGGCGGCCAGAACGACACCGCCGAGAGTTGAGCTACCCGTAATGCCATCCATGTAAGCCAGCAGAGCGATGCCCGTGTCGCACAGGATCGCCGCCACGATCTGTGGGGCACCAGGCAGTTAAGATAAGCCGTTACAGTGTAATAAATGACGAATACACGTTTTTAAATTTTACAGTCTAGTAGATGTCGAAGTAAAGTTGAGTACACATCGTGTCTCGATAACTATCTAGATCCATGTAGAATGGTTCTCTGTAGTCTATACTAGAGATGAAACGGATATCCGGTAACTATCCGGTAGACCGGATATCCGGCCTAAATTTACTATCCGGCCGGATACCGGATAGTAACTCACTATCCGGCCGGATACCGGATATTAAAAAATTACGACAATTTTCTATTATTAAAATGAAATACATTAATCTTTGAGGTAAATATCAATAAAATGGCTTATAATAATGACGGTTTTTGTTTAAAGTCCAAAAAGTTACAAAAGCCATATTAAGGTCTTTCAAAAAACTAATTTCTCTTTCTGGGCTATTCACTCTAATGACGAATACATAAATAGTAAATATCTGTTAGTGTCGAAATATTGCCAAATAAAAAAGGCGATCTTTTTTTCACTGATGGTTTGATGACATGATGTTACAGTTCAGTCAGATTACGCAACAAGTAAACTAATTTAATTTTCGCTATTCAATCACGCACGATAGCAACCGAAATCGCCCGTTGATCTGCCCCCTAGACAAGTGGCAAAATCTGACATTCTGTTCGGACGGATTCGATTTTCGAAAAGTGTGACTAGTCTAGTCTACTAATACCCACTGATCGCCTTCGAAGCACTTGTGCGGCGCTAAACTCGTCACGACATGCAACGAGACAATGGGCCAACTATCCGGCCGACGGATATCCGGCTATCCGGCCTAGCAGCTGGCCGGATATCCGGTATCCGGCCAAACAACTATCCGTTTCATCTCTAGTCTATACCAGCCCTCCTATTAACCCTTAATTAGTCGCATGGGGTCAAAGCAATTTCGGATTCAAAAATGAAGCATTTGGCGCGGCCCGATTTCCTCCGCGCCCCCAGTAGCTTCATAAAACACGTCTTAGTTTGTATTTTGATAGCGACTAATTCACGGGAGTGGAAGGATGCGTCGCTGCGCTCTTGAGTGGTGACCCCATGCGAGTAATTACGTAACTTTTTTGGAAGAGGTAAGTTTTTTGTTTTATGTATTTATTTTGTGTATTATGAATAATATTTGTGTTATTGTATATTCAGTGAATAAATGTTTGTTATAAATGTGTTTTTACAGCTCTAAACAATAAAAATATTGATAAATTCAGTTTTACTACTACTTTGTTTTTTTTTTTTTCAGAGTTAGTAGAGATAGGAAAAAATAGCAAATTGTGCAACGGTTGGAAGATGTTTCTGATGAAGAAGAAGTTGGAAGGTCGAGTTCTGAGCCAGAGTTAGATGAAATAACAAAAAGTGATCATGATAGCGCTAATGAGATCGAGCAATCCTCCGCACAATCAAGTGAATCGAAAATGCAAGAAATGTACAAGATTTGTGTGCAATGATCACTCTGAAATATACTGTCAACAGTGTAACAAGAATGATTCGGAGAGTTCCTAAAAAATACTAGTATTACCTTTGATCTCAGTATACCTAAGTACAAATTGTTAATTATTGACAATTATTTTAATTTAGCTTGTTTTTGTATAATTAGTAAGAAATTCATGTTATTACCCATAGATATTAAAGAATAAATAAAGCATTTTTATAATAATATAGTTTCATTTACTTATAAATTTCAGTATGTATTAAAAACTACTCATACAATTTGGGGTCATCTGTGACCCCATGCGAGCAGTTATGTAAGATTCTTTATGCGAGTAATTAAGGGTTAATATCAAGTGATACGTTTTGCCACTTATCTAGGTGGGCTGTAAGTTAATTGCAGAAGAGCGGATAATTTTACAGGAAGGATTGCATGTCCCACTTTCTCAATCAGACGAAAGTCGTCGTATAGCCGCACTCACAAACCGCGCGAGGCGGATTCATAAAATCGACTTTTTTATTAAACGCGATCTGCCGTGTCCTGTCGTGATAGAAATCAACTCATTTATAATGTCCAAGGACAAACTGTGAATGAAATTATAATGTAAAGTTAATACAATAATCACATTTACACACCCTGTACATGTAAATAACAGACTGATTTCTTTCTGCTTGTTTTCTTTTCTTTTTTTTATTCTATAGATAAAATTGATAACAGACTGACTTCTTTCTGCTTATGTTTTCTTTTTTTATATATTTTTCTATACATAAAGTTGAATAAAAAAATTCTGTGTTTTCACTTACCCTGACCCCAACAAACTGCTCATGAAGAATGACCCAAGATAGGAGATAGATGCAGGAAACGTTGGTTGCAAACAGCGCCACCACATCCGTGGAAAGCAGTATCTTCAGAGAGTAGGTGTGCATGTACACTGTGACTACCCACAGCAAGCAGAAGAGACCACACCGGCTTATAAAACGAGCTGTTGAAAAATATTTCGATAAATCTGACATAAGTAAAAACTAATACAAAAATATAGCAGTCGCCTGATTTTTTGGTATCGGTATTGATAGTTTGATACCTTTTATTTACAACTTTACTGCACATACAACAGGGTACAAAACTTGAACCTAATCCCACAGTATTCTCTACCAGAGAAATATTGGCCCAGGCAGAAGAATTATTACCAAAAAATCAGAAAACAACATCATAAGACTTACCAAATGTGAATCCCTTGTCCCTAAAGTCAGTAAATGCATCATAGACAATATCGTTAGCCGACTTGCACTTGTTGTGTATCAACATCACTATCAAGTAGAGAGGGTAGAACAGGATGAGCCAGTTGGTGCAGAACCATGCAGTGAAGAATGGGGCATTGTAGAGATTCTGAAATAATGTAAGTAAATGATACAAGTGCTACTACATTTCTTAAGTTTAATCTCTAAATTAAATGTAATATTGAATTTCAATTATTATGAAACTTGGACCATCTAGCTTCTAGCCAGATCTAATATATAATTTAATAAAGTTACATTTATTGCCCACAAAATTTATATTCAATATCTTACATGAGAGCGAAGTCTTGTTGTATAATTATTGTACAAAACTGATGAAGGCTCGGTGCTGTGAATCAACCCATATGTGTTAGGTGGGTACTCTTCCAAGTACATATGCTTGACGCAGTGCGTTGCTGTTACCCAAGAAATGGTGAGAATGAGTGTGACACAGATGCCATAGTAAATCTAGAAAAAAATAAAATTATTAACATATTTTTGTTACAAAAAATGTCATAAAAACAAAACTGAATAAAATCGTTAGATAACCTTTTTAGCAAACTTTGAGCAACAAGATCTTGGACATTTCTTATCTCGCAACTGTCGTTCCTCATCCTGGCTGCTGGTAGCGGACTCGCTGTAGGCCTGCTGCAGGGAGGGCTGCGTCGTCAGCGGAGGCGCCGAGCACACCGACACCTGCGGCGTCAGCGGAGCGCGCGGGCTCAGCGGGGTCGGAGGTCCATTCGGACGCTCTCTGTCTCCATCTCCAGCACCTCTTTCGCTCTCCACCACCTCCTCACTTGTTATTATCACAGACGGCGCTCGGACGCGCTTCGGATTGAAAATAGTCGGCAAGTCTCCGTCCCTTGCCATTTTGCTGGCTACCAATATAACATACACATTGCGAAAATAGTAAACACCCTGTGAAACCCCTCAAATATTTTAAATTAATTCATTCTTCGTGTAAAAATATTTTTGTTTCGTTTAGCGTAAGCGTCAGCTGATTCTTCTCTAACAAAAACATGATTTATTCACAGAATACATGGTCAAAAATATGTTTTCGACACTTTGTCCAACCAATTAAACTATAAAAATAACGCTAAAATGTTTTTAATTCGAAGTTCAGAAAAAACAGAACCATTTTCCCGAGATTTTCTTTCTTGATTTTTTTCTGATTTTTTCTTCGATTACTTTTTTGTTTTTTTTTTCTCGGCGTGCTTGATGTATTCTGTGCTAGTATTTCTATGCCGGTAGGCCATTGGCCAATTATTTTCAATTTCCTTTTGACTCAAATAGGATTGGCCGTTTAATAATAAAGTCAAACCATGATTGGCCAAAACGAGACCAAAGACAAAATTTAACAAAATCTGTATCAAAGATAACGTAATATTGATAGAGTACGACAGTGGAGTTGTGTCTATACAGCCAAAGATATAATACAAATATTCCCACGAATGTTCAGGATCATCTTCGTCGTACATCGCGATCGCCTGACACGAAGTCACGAGCTCTTGGTAATAAATACCAAAAATTTCGATACGAAACTGGAACGCGTAATTAAAATTGTACTCACAGCTATGTAATATTTTTATACACACACATAAAACACAATGTGTGTTAAACACATTCAAGTTCAATTTATCGAATACGCTCTTGTTAAAATGTAAGCGAAACAGAATCGCAAGCACCTGTCAGAAAGATTGCATCGTCAGAGCGCAAATCTTTGCTTTTGTTGATAGCCTGAACTCTCGCTGAGCGACGTTTTTATTGATTGTGTAGGGCAAAACACGCGCTCTGGAGAACCGGCTTTATTATCACAGAATCATAAAGTCAATGATATTACAGAACTATAGATATGTTACGTTCATAGAAATTACGATTTTAATCCGTGCCGAGCTATTCCAAATTGCACACATTGACAAATGTAACTGATAAGTGAAACAAAAGATACGAAATAGCACGCAAATGAAAGAGATATATTTTAACGATTCTGCACTAACTAATCTATGTCCGCAGCGCACGCATCCTTATCGCTCTAACGTCAAAACAAGAACGCTTTCTCTTTCTTAACTTGAACATGGCGCATGGCGTCTTGATTGTTTGCATAAATAATTGAAAATATAAATACTAAATAATTTTGCATAATCACATGTGTTAAGAGATCCCTTGTATTTTGTTTACTTTAGAGTCATAATTGGTACACTTTCGAAACACACACGATGGCATTTTTTATTTATTTTGGTAAGAACACAGGAACTTACGGTGTGGTACGCACGCGATTGCGCACGACGCAGGCCACACGAAGACTAAACACAAGACGTCCCAATTGGGACGTATTTGAGTATTCACAGCGCGAGCGCCTATAACATATCTGCTTTTGTTTTTATATAATATCATTGCATAAAGTTAAATTATTTAATGCACAGAATAGAGTATAAATAATTTAGGTTTTATTTTTTTATTTTATAATAAATGTGGAAATTAACGTTGGAATACGCCAGTAAAATCACTGGTGCAACTTCAAATATTATTTTTGACAGCATCACCTTATCTGTGATGATCACGAACGCGAACCTCCGCGAATGATCGTTATTCGGCAAAGACTAGACTAATAAGTAATCTGTGGCAAAGACGCGAAGTGTGCACACGAACATTCAGCATATTTGGCAAAAAATATTATTATTCATTAATAATTTTAAAATTTTATAAAATAATTTTGTGGCTATTTTAGAAATTAATTTTAAAAGATTTAAAATTATTTTCAGAAGTGGTGTGCTTTTAATTTTGGAAAAGGTAGATGGCACTGGCACACCACATAAAGTTCAATAATTTAACGCCAGAGGGAGATAATTGGCTAGCCTACTTGAAGCATCCGGGAACCTCGCCATAGTAGTAGACATGGCGGGTATCAACCTGGCTAAATGACGAAATAAATTTTGTTTGCTAATATAAGAACGTGTTAATTTCGTAGTTAAAGTGTTGATACTCAAAGACTAATTAAGTTATATTGGTTTAGGACAAAAATGCAGAATGTTGGACAGTCTGAAAACCGAAATATCGATAAGGTGAAGTTGCAACTTGATGTGGTAAAATCGTCCACTCCTCAGAGTTCGGCTTCGAGTCCGGCCAAATCTGAAACCGAAACGTATTCAGGAGCCCCTGCCAAATACATGACGGACTCTTCGGAAAGCGAGGATGACTCTGTATCCGAGGTAAAACGTGTTTTGTTTTCGGCAGAGGCGGTGGCAATGAGGGAATGTGATTATCTGTACCGCTCTAAATACTGCAAGGGACATCTTGTACATGTCTAGTTTTTCCGTACAACTTCTTTTCTCACTAAAATCATAATGGCTATCAGTAATATTTGTCTGATATCATGCGTAACTTGTTACTACGAATAAAATATATCTTTCATTCCCACTGAAGTACGTTGCTTGCCAAATATTCCGTAAAACGTCAGAAAGTCATAAGTACATACGTACTACTGAGTAATGCATGAAATTATTTATGCCAGCCGCTCCTAGACAGTATTCAATTGATTATTTGTAATTCCACGATATAATCGGGCTAATCCTCCGTAAGGTTCTTTTCATTGTCTATTTGTGTTTTGGTTATGAACTGATCTAAGGTGGCCATGTTTCTGGAATCACATGCATTTCGTCAATGTAAAGTGATGATTATTGTGTTTTCACATCATTATTTCCATTAAAAAGTGTGAATTATATAATTTCTACTCGATTCCACTAGCAATGTTGTCAATCACAGTGTGTCAAGTATTGACACTCGCGAGAAAATTCTGCGAAACGCCTTCCGATATTCGCGCAAAAATAATGGTTATTGGTGAATTGCAAGGACCATTGTTAGTAACTGTTAGGTGTAAACTCGTCCTTATGCACCACATTGTCAGTACTCACGACTTTCTCATTGGTGTTATAGATCTTGCTGGCTTGTTTGTGCCTAAGCAGGCCAGACCTGTTGGTAAGTCGAAGACAACCTTACTGAGTGCCGAGAGCTTCTCCAACACCAATCGCTGTGGCAGTTTGAGTGACTTACTGTTAACCTGCATAATGTGTGTGCGATGGACAATTAAATATCTCTGTTTTGGTTTTATTGATGTTGAATGGTCCTTGTGATTCTAACAATTTACTCCAACATCCTTCATTATCTGCTATTTAACTCTTACTAACTAGTAGTATAACATGCCCAGTATTAATGTTGAAATGATTTGCAGATGCAGGCTAATAACCTTAAAATGTACTGAAAACAACTAAACAATGAGTGCTTGGCCTTTCATCTTGAGTGATCTAGTTTGTGACTGAACATAAAAAGTTGTCACTAAAATTGTTATGTTCTGGTGTTAATTTCTTTAAAATATTCTGATAAAGCAAATCTGTTTTCCTCCCCAAATGCTTACATTGCTAGGATTTACAACAAGTTTTTATTATAATGTTCTGACTGATTATAATCAAAACAAATGTATTGTTGTAAGACAGCAAAAGTACTTTGAATTTATAATGTAATGTATTCATAGGTAAAACAAAACCCAGTACAAGAAATAATAATCTTAAAACTATATATTATGTTAACTTTGCTGTAAATCCTAATAAGTAGACTCTTTAACTTTCAATACAATCAATAGCATCATTAACTATTGAATTGCTGAATATGCATTTAACATTTTCAATGGTTGGTAGTTTGTCATTCTATCACAGATATTTAAAAGAAAAATAATGAATGTTATCAGGCGGAAATGGATGAAGAAGGTGGTGGTGCAGAGTCATCCAAGTTCCTACTCTCTCACGATGACCCTGAGCGAGCAGTTGATCCTGAGATGCAGGCAAGACTTGAAGCCCTTCTGGAAGCAGCCGGTTAGTAAACACATTATATTTTAATAACTCGTGCTTATTACATGTACAATAACAACAAACAGTATGTACCTACAATGATAAAGCATTGTTTATGCATAACTTTAATTATGAAAAGAATGCACCTGGAACTTTTTTGCACATTTGTATAGCACTGACCCAAAAATAAAGCTTATTCTAAAATCACTGCATGAAACATGGCAATTTATAATTATATTTTCTCATAGAAATTAAGAATTATGTGCAATTGTGAATAAAAGACCAATTGCTTCTGGAAAGAAGTAAAATATAAACTTATCCAGAGAGTCTGTATTTAACAGATTAGCTCTAGCTGGATTATCACTACTTAGGTTCTATGTTAAATACTTATTTACTTATCGTTTTGTCGCCTGAAGTATTAGTGCAGTAGTGTTATTTATTATTGATTGTTTTACATCAAGAAATAAGAGACCTATTAGAATTTACCAGTCATATAAAGGTTTTTGTTGAATTACATGTTTTCTTCATGAAACCTTCCAATCATATTATGAAAAGTTCAGTATCACTTAACCTTTAAATTATAGATCTTATCAGGCACTGTAGAAATCAAACTCCACATGAGTGCTATAGTGTAATTACACAAAGGCTTTAGCACCATCTCAACAATGAAATTGTGTCGCTTTTGTTACGGGGTCGTTATTTTGATAAACAAAACAGTAATAAATATGTTACATCTTTATGTGCTCGTCTTTAACGGTCAGAATAGAGTGGCGTTAGCAATATAGAACAACAATTTCTACGCCACGCCATACCTACCGCTTAGTTATGTTGACCTAAGCATTACACCCTTTACTATTTTCCATTGAAAATGCACCCCAATAACATGTTTAAATGAATCATGACATATTCTTAGTAAAAGTAATTTAATGAAACTGCTAAAAAGGTTTCTTTGTTTACTGAATGTGTGTATTTTTTAACATTGTGTTTGTTGATTTGTCTCAAGGACATTAATCATGAGTCCATAATATTACGTAGTTCTGAATTTGATAAAGTCCAATATGTTAATGGATTTGTTAATTGTCCTCCATTTAATAAAAATCGTAGTTGGTAAATATCCCGCTCCCATGGCGGGTCACACACTCCATACATAATAGTTTGTGCATGCATGTTTAGGCTCCTTTCCGCGATTGTGGACCTTAAGTCGTGGGTGTGACGGGTTAGGCAGTGCTCGGACATGTCGGAAGTATGCGACGTCACAACAGCTAAGCAGACGCGCCAGTCGGCAGACAGACATCGGGCTTGGCCCAAGTAATTAAAATTTATTTACTTTAAACAAAAAATTGCAAGAAATCCATTAAAGTTTGGTGGTCATTTTATGTCATATTATACCATTCAAATTATTTATTTCATGATAACATTAATCTACATGGATAGATGCCATAATAACTATATTGGCATGCATTACCTTAATATATGCACATATTTTTATAGTACACGTGCAGAGCGCGCTTATCAAAAGCGTAGAGATTTAGAGAACATTTGGCATAGCGATAACAAATCTGAAGTATTTTACGTTGACTGGAAACAGTACGTTAGGACCGCGAGCTCTCTCAACTTGGGGCACACATTGCTTTCCCATAGAGATTGATAAGCGGCGGCATACTATGATGCTTCCTCACTTACAAACTCATGGCCTTTATAAGATCACGACACGGAGAGCCGGCTCATCCTTAAACCGCTACTTCACCACAGTCTATAGTCGTGACGTAACGTACCAGCCGCCTTGCATTAACTTGGTTTGTCAGAACTTTATGTGCAATTCTGGCTGAATTGCACGTGTTGAACAAAGAGATCAAAAATTTTACGATTTTTGACCTAAAAGTTACCCCGTTTCCACCATTGAATGTTCTATCAAAGTGCATTTTTGATACTGCAATAAAATCCCTTAGGATTGTACGAGTACGTTGCCGCTTCGGGCCACAACCTGGTTTTCATCGATCATCGATATTGACCGCATTGCGACTCAAAAGTTTTCAAACCATTATAACTTTATAATCAGCATAATTTTTATATTGTAGTTCATGTCATTAAAGCAATCTAAAAGTATGAAACCGCCGATCGAATAAATCAAACGCCTTGACCTTTTACTACGTGTAACTGCATTTACTTCCATTTGTCTACCTATAGTCTATTTAATACATATTTAAAAAAATCAATACTGCTTTGGTTGGCGATGTTTGTGACGTGTCGTGAAGCAAACACATTTGTCCTACCTATTCATCGTTCACACCATGCACCGTAAAAATCGTTTCAGTGCTTATTATTTAGTCATTCATTCACAGCTTATGTTTGAGTTAAACAAACCGTATTTTTTACAAAGTAGCCCATTCAATTATATTTTTGACGACACTTATTGTACTCTACAATCACTATTGGATCATTATTTCCATGAATTCAATTAAGTAAATAAATATCTATCTCAACTCAATAGACTCGTTAGTTTGTATGCGATGTTGCTTTTGACTGCAATCAATAACAAGACCCTATCATGCGGGTGAACACTCTCGCTCTACTAAAAGTATCATTGAATTTGATTGTTACGAAGTAATTGTCATTTTGTAATTTCGGGATAGGATCGTAAGTAGTATCGTAAATATTGAACTAGAGTGCTGATGGTACTCGTTATTTGAAGAATTTATACTGGAATGGACACACGTCGAGTGCAAACCATACGAAGTTAAGTGCAGACACTCCGTCCGACACATTGTTTTCATTCGCAAATAACTAAATGCAGTCTGACACCGTAACCTATTTCGGGAATGCCCGTAAGTAGGCTACCCAGTGTCTCCAAGCTTAGAACGAGCATTTTTGTTTTGAAACGTCAAACCGATGCTTCTTCTTTCATAGAGACATTTTTTGCATCAAGTTTCGCTACCGTAGGTTTCTATCACATTACTATGTGTAGGACCACAAAACTATGAACAATGAACATACATTATTATTGTACGTAAGTTGAAATCTTTTCATAACGCGATCCCTCCTAGACGAAATCTCTGTCAAATAAGCTAGAAATCCTTTTAATCAAACTAATGAAATGTATGCAAAAAAACCGTGGCACCAATAAAACTTCATAAAATTGTTTACTTATTACATAATTTATTTTATTGTAATGTAACTAATTGCGTTTGCAAATTCAACGCTGTAAACAAACAAGGTAAACAAGGGATTCACTAAACGGTAATTATCTGCTGACGTGCTTGTCTCATTTTATAGTGTGATTTATGTATAATGCACATTATTCATGTATGAGTAAAAGTAGACGTATCTACGTCGGATGCTAAGAATTTATAGGTTCATTAGTCGAAATAGTACCCGTTTATTCGACTGATAAGTTTCTTGCCAATAAAGTGTATTCTTTAGATGAATATCTTTATTATTACAATATAATAAAATTCATAATTATAAATTATGATACAAGTGCATCACTTTGATATACTGTTCGTTCTACTCGCATTTTCGCATTTAAGGTAAATTATTATAGGATCACTTTGTTGTCAAGATCGAGGTAAAATTAATATCAAATACTCTACATTCCTTACGCCAATTAAAAAATCATGTTTTGGAGCCAAACAACAAATATAAAAATAAAACAATCGCCATGAAATCAAAGTCCAATCATGAAAGGCGAGAGCTGGTATTTTGTAATAAGTCTTCAAGTTATTAACTATTATTAAATAATTTTCATAATAAAATTTTGTCCTTTTGATATCTTTTAAACTCAATTTTTTGTAACTTTAAATCTCAATCAGTCCTCATTGTGTCTTTATAATGGGGCAGTTAGGAGTCAAAACTAATTAAAACTACATAATGAATGATTGATAAAACTAAAACGACCTACAGTCGAACCGCATGTCGCGGTCATTATAACAATACAACATTTGCATAAAATATACTTATTTGTAACACTCTTTTAAACGGTCTTTTAATGAGTGTTTAACACAATTAATTGGTAATTTAACGAAATATACAAAACGCTTAAAATTGCGGTTTCCTTTCAATCAATATTCCTACTTTCTTTTTATTGCCTACTTTATTTTTAATTCAAGACCACTTTAGAATACTTTCGTAAACTATGATACTCCTCTGGATAGGAAAAAAACTAAATGGATACTGAATCATTTTACTGAGGCCTAAATTTTCTATGTCAATGAATTTCCACTTGTTACTTGTCAACATGTCTACGCATTTTGCGTGAAGTCAAATGTAAAAGAAAGTAACATTAAACATATTACTGCAATATAGTCCACATCAGTGGGCATTAAGCTCGAGTGCTGTGATATTGTCGCAGCACATAATAGTGCTTATGCGTGCAACTGGCACGTGTTGGCTTTCCCCCGGTGATCGATGTACACGAGGTCCAAAAGATACACAAATATATCTCTATATTAAACTTTACTAAAACCTATCTTCAGGTTTGTCATTTTCAAGCCATATTTATTTATTTCGGTGGATTTAATACTTAAAAAAATCTCTAATTTATACCAAAAAATTCTGAAATATTGAACAACAAATTTTTAATTACATAATTTATTTAAATCTTAATTTTTGAGGTGTCGCGATTTCAAATAACTAGAGCGAATTTTTTTTACCGCAAGTGATTTATTTACCGTCACAATAACGTAAAATATTAGCGCTAATTATTTAGGCTACACCTCTCAAATCAATCATGGTATTTTTATTGGCATTAAAAGTTAACCACTGCCGCATATTAGAAGGCTACGAGTGGCGGTCACTTTATCGACTACATCCGTGGCGGTGAGACATGTTAATAATTTAGATTTGGTTTAACAACTGAATTGTTTAAATGCAACAGGAAATTAGCGACAAAGTAAACTAAATCGAAACTTTTTTATAAATTTACATAATGCTAAAGTTACGCTATGGCTTAAAATTAAAAGACAGCTAGTCCATGTTGTGACGGGCTTATTAATTTCTTGATTCACTCATGTAAAGTGGATCTGAAT